AAGTTTATTTTGGTCTGTTGTTCTTGTGAGAATAATTAGTTCTTCCCCGTTGGCCGTATGCCTCTGCCAGATGAGAATTAATCATTAGTTGGTGTTCCAGTATCAAGATATGTCTAGTTGTGTATATTAGGACAAGCAATTCATTTCATTTTTGAAAAACTCAAGTCCGGCCACAGTGTGAAGCTCATCTGTTGCCTTCGGTGAAACATACAAGTGCCTAAGCCAAGATATGCATACAAAAACATATTATAGTACTTATATAACCAAACCTGGAGGTTACAAATTGATTTGCAAATTAGATCAATTCCAACAGGCTTGTGTATTTGGAAGCTGGTATAGGATCTGTTAGAAAAAAGATGTGAGGGGACAGTAAAATTTTGGTTTACTTCTTCTTTTAAAAAAAATATCTTGTTTTGAACAGTTTATGTTAAAGAGTCATTATTCAGGTAAATTATTTTAATATAATTGCATGGAGGGTTAGTTTAATTTTCTATCCACGCTCATACTCAAGGGCAGGTTTTTCAAAATGGCATCCAATATACGATAGATCGTATCAATATAACTTGGATGTCCTTGAAATTCTGACATGAGTATTTTTATCCTGATATTTTAATTGGTATAATATATACTAATCGGTCACCTTTTGAAAATGTCCAAAGCTTTGTGCAGAAAAGCTCTGCTATGTACGCCAACCTGGATAAACTTTATTTTTTGTTATTGTGTTTTGTATTTTCAGAACACAAATATATGAATGGGTCATATGACTATAATGACAGTACAGGTTCAGATTGCTTTGGCAATTTTAAATGCAGAATTACAGATATACTTTAGTTAATGAAGTTGGTTTGTTCCTGAACGTTATGTCTTTAGCAGAAGTTTGGTGTGAAAACTAGGAATACAAAAAGAATAGGAGCAGATTCCTACATCACAGAAAAGAATAGCACTTCCAAGATTTTTCAGCAAACTTGATTTAAAACAATAAGCATGTGGAATTCAGCTACAAGTTTAGATAAGCCATACATAAATAAACAAAACATTTGTAACTTTCTAGAAACCACTTGAAGGCTTATTGCAAATGCATTTAGAGGCAACTTTTTCTTTCACCAGCCTCTACTTTTCTTAGATTTCCATTTTGGTAGCTTCAGTTAGGAATCTGTTTTGGTTTTGTTTTATATAAAAGTGGAGTAACTAGTGAGGCAGGTTTATCAGCTGTCCCTTTTGCTCTGTGTGCTGTTCAATAAGGTATCCTAGAGACAGCTGCTACTTGCCTCATCTGATGAAGGGAGGCCACATAAAAGTGGTAGAAATACACAGCTACAATAGGATCAGCTACAACAGGATCCAGGTCTTTCACAACTCAAACTGTAGTACTCTTATTAACTGCAGATATGTACCTGCAACTCAGCACAAATTAACTTACTTAGGCGATCCCTTGTTGTCTGAGTAGGATAGTCTTCCAGGAACAGCATACTGGTGGTGGGTCCGTAGGTGACTGTGGAGCCCTATTCTTGATCTGCATCTTCTCCCGCAGTGAGGGCATTGGCTTCTAGGTGGAAGGCGGTCCCGGTTGGGGTTGGCTTGACGCGCCTTCCTCTTGGCACGTTTCTCTCCATTTGTGACTCTTCAAATTCTACAGCACTGCTGTTCACAGCTGACCTCCAGCTGGAGCGCTCAAGGGCCAGGGCTTGTCAGTGACTATGCCAGAATTTTTGAGGTTGGCTTTGAGCCCATATTTAAATCTCTTTTCCTGTACACCAACATTCTTTTTTGTTTTTTGTGTGAAATACTTGTGTGCCACCTTTATATTGGTCTTCTTTTCTTACTTTCTCTGCTTATTATTGTTCTCCCACTTTACACGTAATTGTAGTTTCTCTCATTTTACCCTTTTCCCTAACCCTCTATATAAATAAAAATGTAATGTTCATTTGTGGGATCAACGTAACTCAAAAACCACTGGATGAATTGACACTAAATTTGGACACTACACCCCTAACAGACTAACGAGTGACCATCACTCATAATTCCCTCCCCCCCCCCAAAACAACACTGGAAAGCACTTAAAAACCCTAAAAACCAAAATGATGAAAAGCTAAATGAAAAAAAGGAAGAGGGAGGGAGGGAGGGAGGGAGGGAGGGAAGGAAGGAAGGAAGGAAGGAAGGAAGGAAGGAAGGAAGGAAGGACGGAAGGAAGGACGGAAGGAAGGACGGAAGGGGAGAAAGAGAGAAGGAAAGAGAGAAGGAAGGAAAGAGATAGAGAAGGAAGAAATGAGAGAAAGGGGAAGGAAAAGAAAAAGGGGAAGGAAAAGAAAAAGGGGGAAGGAAAGAAGAGGTAGCAAAGGAAGGAAGGAGAGAAGGAAAGCAAAAACGGAAAGGAAGGAAAGAGGGAGCGAAGGAAGGAGGGAAAGGAGGAGAGGAAGGTTGACCATTGCAACTCGTGGTGGGTACAGCTAGTTTATCAATAAAAATATAATTTAAAATAATTATTCAGGGGCATTTGAGGGCATTTGTTTTTGAGAAGTGTTTTGTCACCACAGCACATATGAATCTTCAAAACCTTTGTTCTATCCAACCCTGTTTTCCCAAAGCTGAATTTCCACCAAATCCCCTTCACTCCTTGAGGATGGGATTAAAATCACTTTACTGTTTGGGACATCAAAGATCCCCTCCCCCTTCACTGTAGGCATCAAGGACTTTGTACAATTAAAAATAAAGTTTCACGTATAAGCAGGAGATTCCTTTTCTTCCAACTCTCGAGCAATGCAAGTTTACTCCAAAAGATTAATTTAAACCAGATGTGTTCACTGCTTCAAGTTGTGGCAAAGAATTCCAAGCTGTTTCTTGCCGCTTGTGCCAACTCCTTGCAAAGATAAAGAATGTTTAAGCCAAGCAGTCACTTGATCACTCTTCCCTTTCCTGGTTTTCTCTAAGCACCTCTGCAAAATATATGGCCTGGGGAGGTACCATATATTCCAGCATATAAGACAACTGGGTGTATAAGACGACCCCAACTTTTCCAGTTAAAAATAGCTTGGGATATACTTGCTGTATAAGACTATCCCTCTTCCAACACACACCAAATAATTTTTTTAAAAGCAGCAGATTAGATTTCAATATGGTAATTTTCCTATTACTGCGCCTCCTTCTCTGCCTCTCAGATCTCTGCACCACTTCACTGCAGTCTTCAGGAGCGAGATCTGAGAGGCAGAGGAGGAGGTATGGTAATAGGATACAAGGGCAGGCCAGACAGGTAAGAGAGGTGTGTTTTTCTGGGCCCAGAGCCACTCTCTTTTTTCCATACCTCGGGTATCCTGGACACCTGCAACTTGCTCCGCCCTTCACTTACACCTGTTGAGGCGCCCCTTAACCTCACCATCGGGACCGCATTATTTATTTATTTTATTTATTTATTTCGAACATTTTTACCCCACCCTTCTCAAGCCCTGGGGGGACTCAGGGCAGCTTACAATTGGCAATAATTCAATGCCGCATCATAAAATACAGAATTACAAATATAACAATTATACATGAACATTAATAAATAAAGATTAAAACAGTATACTTACACTCTGATTAGCTATTGCCCATCTGGTGGCTGTTTAGCTAGTTATCTACTAATGATTACTCTGCTTAACTTATCCAAATCCTCTTCCATGCCATTGTCAACATTATCAATTGTCATTTAACCTGATTGCCCGAAGGCCTGGTCCCACAGCCACGTTTTAACCTTTTTTCTAAAGGTGAGGAGGGATGACGATGACCTAATTTCCCTAGGGAGCAAATTCCACAGGCGGGGGGCCACCACCAAGAAGGCCCTGTCCCTTGTCCCCGCCAAACGTGTTTGAGACAAAGGTGGGGCCGAGAGCAGGGTCTTCCCAGACGATCTTAAGCTCCGAGGTGGGACGTAGAAGGAGATACGTTCGAACAGGTACGCTGGACCGGAGCCGTATAGGGTTTTATAGGTCAAGACCAGCACTTTGAATTGTGCTCAGAATTGGATCGGCAGCCAGTGGAGCTGGCACAGCAGGGGGGTGGTCTGCTCCCTGTATGACGCTCCACGAATCATATGTATGACGCTCCACGACTGTTTTCATACAGTCGCCATATACGGCAGAGACGCGGCGGCTGCCATTTTTGAGTTCCCCCCACAATATGCAGCAACCACAGATTCTCCAATCCGAATTGGAAGTCTCAGCACCCGCTCTATAAGATTACTCCCGACGTATAAGACTACTCCCGCATATAAGACGGCTCCCATGCATAAGGCTACTCCAGTGTATAAGACGACTCCCGCATATAAGATGATCCCTGACTTTTGAGAAGATTTTCTTGGGTTAAAACGTAGTCTTATACGCCAGAATATACGGTACTTCTACTGAAAACATTTTTCACCAGTTTTGAATTGTAGAAATGAATGACTGTCTTGTAATAATAAAGGCTCTTTAGAAAGACGAATATTATGCTTAAGTCAATCCAAGCAATTCTTGCTAGGGCTTGCAGAAAAATTAATGGGAAGTGAATCAAAACTGGAAGCCCCCTGCTACTTGTTATCAACCACACATTTCTGTGGAGAAGCTCTGGTATGCTTTTGGCATTGCTAGATTGCGGATGGAGCATGGAGGATAGTCTACACAAGTGTGGAAATTAGGACAAAAGTTAATTAAGCCCCTAGCCCAAGAAAGTATGAGACAAAGTTTCCAGTTGGAGAGAATACCTAGATCAAACAGATCTTATTTAAAAAACCTTCCTTGTACAAGAGACACCCAGGAATGAGATGTTGACAGCTGTGTCTGTAGGCTGCTTAAGATGTGCAAAGTCATGCAGTCATCAAGCTTGGCGCACGCTCCCGTCTCCATATGATTGCATCACTTTGCTTCTCTCCTGAAAGACTGTAAAATTGGGCTCCTGTCCAGCACTGTGAGGCCAAGAAGCATTTTTCCAGTAAAAGCAGAAAAGGCAGGATGACAGAAAGAAACAGATGAGAGAGGAAGACAAATCACAGGTTTCCAGTTTTCTTTTTATTATTATTTTTAAAAAACTGCCTGGGAAGCTTTTTTTGATGAAACACAGACATGTTAGCCGTTCTTAAGTAAGTGAATGTTCTGTGAAAAGTTAATATATATTACACCAAAAGCCTCTGTGAACTGTTCTGCTCAGGGAAGAGGTGGACAATAGCACTGCAATATACCTGACAGATCACACTGAAGCATGACCACCCTATAATGGGTTCGGAGCATTCTTCCGGCTTCCTCCTAAAGTCCAGCCATTGTTCTATGAGGCCAGTAGGTTGTTTTGAAGTAAAATACAACTGCTCCAAAGGAGGAGATCATAAGAAGTGGGGTACGATGTTCCTTCTGAGCACATTTCAAATTTCCACAAGGCCTTTTAGTCATGATCCAGGACCAGAATTACACAATGCCTTTTGAGCTTTAGACAATGCAGGAGGAAAGGTTTGGTCCAAGATCAAGGGCATTGTTACAGTCAGGCATAATGATAGCTGGGCCTCTGAGAACTGTATATATTTCCTACAGGAAGAAAGGATGGGACTGGGGCATCCAAGTAACATATGATGGCCAAGTAAGTTCAAAGCTGCATCGTGTGATGTAGGAATGTCCATGTCCCTGCAGGGAGTAGAGGTCTCATCGGCGCCTGAAGGCCCGCGATATCCTCCAGGCATTGGGTTCCTCGTAACGGTTGTACAGTGGTTCCAGACGCTGCTGCTTCTTCTGCTTGCTCAGTTTTGTGGGGTCAGAGACCTTGAAGAAGGCTGGGGCAAACTCCACCAGCCAGCGAGGATCTATGGTGGTGACCTCCCTCATATACTCCTTGGTTGTGAGCACTAATTCATGGTATACCACCCTGTGGAGGAAGGACGGAAAAATGAACAGGATGAGTGAACTGGAATCATTCTTTTATCCTTGAATTAAGCTCTTCCTTGTTTTCACTATACAACATTTCTCAAATAGAAAAACAATACACCCTCACACCTAGTGTAAGGCTTCTTAGTGTGGGTCGTGACCTTGTAATGGATCCCTTACCTTAGCTGGCTGCCTGAAGCCTAAAGGGAGTGGGCCTGGCGAAGCCATGGCATCCATTTTAGGAAAGGGAGACAGGGAGAAGCCATCTTAGTTAGGTTTGCCTTGAGGGGGCATGTTTAAGTCTTAGAGGGAAAATAGGAAGGCTAGGATTGGTTAGAAAGATGGGGCGGAGCCTAAGTTGTTTAGAGAGAAAAAGTGTCTTTTAAACTGAGTCCCTTTTTGGTAAGTTAGGGTTTGGAGCTGTTAGAGAGAAGAAGTGTTGGTTTTAGTCAGAGCGAGTTTGGGTTTGAAGAAGAAGATTGGGTTAGTCTTTGGTGTAGTATTCAGAATAGCTATTGAGTAGATAGCTAGAATACTGTTTTGTGGAGCAGTACCCTGTTAGTGGTCTGTTCAATTCCTAAGGAAGTCTATTTCAGGGTTTTTGGCTAGATTCCTAAGGGGCATTTTTGGGAGTTACTATCAGATTCATTTCCTGAAGTAATTTTCTGTGGTGTAACTTTGAAGACTTGTAACCCAGAAGTTTTTGAGATCTTGACTCTAACGCAACCACAATCTTTTTATGCCAGTATTTTACTGAAACCATTAAGCATTTGTACCTGAATTATTCAAGCCTGTTCAATAAATGTTCTTGTTATTTTATTCAACTTATACCAGCCTCAGTGTGAATACCTTTGTGGTCAAAGTATTACTAAAAGTCAGCTTCACAACAGTTTCTAAGAAACTATAGTGGCACAGTGTGTGTTACAGAACACACTCTCAATATTACCTCAGCCTGATTAGAATAGGAATGGTGGCAGAGGAATTCATTTGAAGAATCAGTTTAAGTCTCTCAGTTCTAGTGGTTCCCAGTTCCTAACTTTTATACAGTTGGTTCAGCAACCATACTCCCTCTGCCTTGTGAGCTTCATAATTTTTGGATGAACAGACTTTGGGATTTATTTTATATATATTTCCCCGTCTAAATAAATTTAATTATAAAATCTTCTCTTCTACTCCTCGCTGTGTCTTTATATTTTGGTGAGGCAGCGTGTGTGTTTTGTTACAGACCTCAAATGGGGTCACCACAGTTTTATATTGAGGTTGTGACAGAGTTCTAGCAGGGGGGCTGGGTTTTTCCACTTCCCTTGCCATTTTTAGAGTCGGGGTGGGGAGGCGTGTTTCCTCCTTCCCCCGTTTCTCCATCCTGTTGGGTCTTTATCACAGCAAGGGACATAGAGTCTAGACTGGATACTTCCTCTCTTCTTTCACCCATTTTGCCTCCTGACTCAGGTATCCCACTTGTGCTTTTTACTCCTCCCTTACTCAATATCTCAACTTTGTGCTGACATATCTGCTCATGAAGGATGGACATTAGTTTATATCCCTTTGAAATCTTTGCACAGTAGAAGAGAAAAAATGCTTAAAAATCAAATTGTTTCAAAATAAATTTATCAGTAAAGATTTGATTCGTATGTGCATTTTATATTATCTGGGGTCGCACATAAACATAGACAAAATGGGGTCACGAGTTAAAAAGGTTTTACAAGACCTGACCTAGTGAATCTACAGATTCTACAAAAACATGCACTTAGTCATGATTGCCATCTGAAACAAAACTGAACCCAGATTCATTTCCAAGTTATGGATTTTACCTTTCATGGGTCAAGCGACCCTATTGAGAAAAAAACTCCTACTCTGTAATCCCACTGTGTTTACTAATCACAAGCCAAATCCAAATCTGTATGTATGTGAAAGTACTGATCTTGATATTTCATAGAATCATAGAGTTGGAAGAGACCTCATGGGCCATCCAGTCCAACCCCCTGGCAAGAAGCAGGAAAATTGCATTCAAAGCATCCCTGAGAGATGGCCATCCAGCCTCTGTTTAAAAGCCTCCAAAGAAGGAGCCTCCATCACACACCGGGGCAGAGAGTTCCACTGCCGAACGGCTCTCGCAGTCAGGAAGTTCTTTTTAAGGTTCAGATAGAACCTCCTTTCTTGTAGTTTGAAATAAAAATTATTTATAGAAAATAACTTGACTAGTAGTTCTCTCTTTTTCCCTTTTAGTATACTGATGTAAAACTCTGCTAAAGAATCTGAGAGAAGTCAAAATATCTTCCCTACAACTTGCCAAGTAGATACTGGGCTGTGAACATGAGCTCACCCTTAATTTTCAATTATACTGTTCCATAATGGAATTGGAAAAAATTATAATCTTGGCAAAAGGAATCACTCATTTCATCTTTTAGGAGTACAGCAGAGGTTACCATCAGTTAGACATATTCCAGAAGCTCAAATAAACCATAAGTTCACTGAATGCTTCAAAAGTTCCAAACACAAATACAAATAAATATTGTTCCACACAATCAAACATTAGGGTCACCAGATTGGAAAAGTCTCTTCTTGAAATCTCAAGAAACAAGTTTACTTCCAACTCAAAGTTATCTCCTTATCTATTACTAATGCCGCAAAACAGTCACACATTTTGCAAATGAAACCCATCCTCTACTCCACCTCGCTCTTACCATTCAGGCTGCCGATTGAAGAGGGCGCTTGAGGGGTGGATGTAGACCACCTGCTGGTCAATCAAGGTCCGGTAACCCTCCTGGGGATCTTTCTTGGCCGCATTGCGAAAGAAACCACTGCAAATGGCTTTTTGGACTCGCACTGTTGCTTTTCCGCATGACACAACATCCAGCTTGTGCCTATCAAACCAGAAAGTGGAAGAACGGCTTAATGGAGAGGCTTTTAATATTGTCCTTTTTTTTTCAAAACCCAGTCTGCTTCATTCTTTCATCCTCTGCTAACTTTTACACAAGTTCCAACAAGTCCCAGGAAAGAGGTGCTTAAACCTACATGTCAGGGTGGGGAAAATGTGGTTTAATAGGTCAGTGGCAGATTTGGAGATTGTTTCTTTCTTTTTAAAAAAACGGATTAGAACATTTTTCCTGTTTATTTTAATTTTCTTTGGAAATTATTTTATTTAGCAATTCAGGGTGAAGTTGGCAACCAAAAGAAGAACTTCTGCCATCTGGGAATGAACTGGGGGTTCCTTCTTCTCCAGCCATTATGTGACTTATATTGATCTAATCTGATTTTTCTTCCTACTGATTTTTCTATCCAATTCATTTGGATTGAAATCTAAGATGGGATTGTTTTTAATCATAGTTCTCAAGTTCACAACATCTGGTCTAATTTTTAGTCATATCTCTCTCCTCACCCCCTTTTTTATACATCCCAGCCTCATGATAAATTTTGTAGAACTTGAATGCCAGCATTTTGGATGTTCCTTATAAAATTCTTATGTTGGCCTTCAGTATTTTCTGTTGGTCATGGAGGTTCTGTGTGGGAAGTTTGCCCCAATTCTATCGTTTATAGGGTTCAGAATGCTCTTTGATCGTAGGTGAACTGTGAATCCCAGTAATGACAACTCCCAAATTTCAAGATCTATTTTCCCCAAACTCCATCTGTGTTCATATTTGGGCATATGGAATATTTGTGCCAAGTTTGGTCCAGATCCATCATTGTTTGAATCCACAGTGCTCTTTGGATGTAGGTGAACTACAACTCCCAAACTCAAGGTCAATTCCCACCAAACCCTTCTGTTTACTGTTGGTCATGGGAGTCCTTTGTGCTAAGTTTGGCCCAATTTCATCATTGGTGGAGTTCAGAATGCTCTCTGATTTTAGGTGAACTATAAATCCCAGCAACTACAACTCCCAAATAACAAAATCAATTTTCTGAGTGAAGGACATATATTGGGTTGTTAGGTGTCTTGTGTCCAAATTTGATGTCAATTCGTCCAGTGGTTTTTGAGTTCTGATAATCCCACAAACGAACATTACATTTTTATTTATATAGATTTTGTCATGAGGTAATTTTTCTGTTGTTTTGTATCTAATTATGCTGTATTATTTTTGGACTCGACCTCATGTTAGTTACCCCGAGTCCCCTTCGGGGAGATGGTGGTGGGTTATAAAAAAGATATTAGAATAAGGTAAATACTAAGTTCAGGGGACATAAAATGGCCTAAAGAATAGCCTAGTCATCTCCTGGTACCTGAAGGAGAACAATGAAGTTACTAATCAGATCATCTCTAGAAAGAAATTCTGGTTTTGGGACAAATGCCCTCCACAAGTGTGAGCAACTAGGAGAAAAAACACATTTCTGGTAAAGTCTCAACTATCAAACAATTGTATGAGGAAAGTTGTTTCCTCAAGTAACTTAATTCCAGAAAATTTGGATCTTGTAAATGTTAGAATCAAGGCAATGTATCTTAGAGCAGTGGTTCTCGACCTTTCTAATTCCGTGACCTCTAAATACAGTTCCTCATGTTGTGGTGACTCCCAACCATAACATTATTTTCGTTGCTACTTTATAACTGTAATTTTGCTACTGTTATGAATCGTAATGTAAATGTATTTTCATTGTTACAAACTGAGCATAATTAAAGCATAGTGATTATTCACAAAAACAATATGTTTTGGGGAGGTTGGACAATGGATGATGGGATCTGCAATACCTTCAAACGATTCAGCTCTGACTTCCACAGACCTGGGTCACCTGGCTCGGGGGGCGTGAGCCGGGTGTCCCAGGCTCCGAGGCAGGGCCTGGGCCCTGTGGGAAGCCATTTTGAGGAGGGGGCACGGCCAAAGGAGGTGGCCTCGCGACCCTTCCAAAATGGCCAAGCGGCCCCCAGGTTGAGAACCACTGTCTTAGAACAGATTGAGAGCCTCTCAAATAATTCCACTGTTAGGTAAATTGGCCAGCAATGTTGACAGCCTCACTGCCATGTTTTATTAGGCTGAAATAGTCAAAGGTTCCAAAGACAAAGGGGAAAAAAATGGTCTACACTCACCATCCTTCAGACCACACTTAAAGGCCATCAATGTCCAGTCTATTTTCTGGTTTAATCATATTATTTTCTAGAAACTACAATGATCAACAACTTGACAAAACCACTACCCAAACCTTAATGGAGGAATTTATTAGGGAGGAAAAATGTTTCAAGGTGCCCGGGGCTGACAAGTATGGTCTCCTAGCCCTTCGCTGTTGTTCAACCCTGTTCTAAGGCTAATAAAGAACTTCTTTTCTCTCACACAACTATATACTTACCTATCCATGATCCCCAGCATCTGTTTACGAATATCCTGGGCCCGACGTAGTGAGCGGGCTTGGATGAAGTTTTCATAGCACCAAGGATTTGAGAACTTGTTGTTCTTCCAGGAGTTATAAACAGCCAGAAGTGTGAGGTGGTCACCTTCAGTCTGGTGGAACTTGGCTTTCTTCTGGTCTGCAAGAGCTTGCTTGTCCTACGCGTGAGACAAGATGTTAGTTTGATGCAACTGTCAGTGGAGAGCAACAAAATAAACCCTAAAGATCATTTTAATAATATTTACCTTCTGGAGCTGTTAATGTATTTTATAAATCATTAATTTGCAAAAGTTGGACAGTGAAGAAAGCTGACAGGAGAATTCTACAGATACCACGGACCACCAAAAAGATAAATAAATGGGCCTGAGAGTAAATTCAGCTGATCTCTCCTTAAAAGCTAGAATGATGAAACTGAAACTATTGTATTTTGGGAAGATGAAGAGATGGCATGACTCATTAGCAAAAGACAATAATGCCGAGTTAAGTGGGAACCAGTAGGAAACCGGGAAGACTACATCACAGGTGCATGGACTCAATCAATGAAGCCTAAGTTGTCAGATTTGTTATTGCCCCAACTTTATTCTCCATCTTCTTCGCTATGATACTTCATCTTGTTATTGGGAAGCTGCCCAATTGAGTGGAAATCATCTATCGAACAGATGGAAAGCTGTTTAACCTCAGCAGTCTGAAAGCCAAAACCAAGGTTACAACAACATCTGTTGTAGAACTCCAAATATGCTGATGACAACGCAGTCTGTGCGCATTCAGAAGACGACCTACAAGCCACTCTAAACACCTTCGCAGAAGCATACGAGAAGTTCGGCCTGTCATTGAACATCGAGAAAACCAAAGTGCTCTTCCAGCAGTCACCAGCCAATCCCTCTCCAATGCCAGAAATACAGCTTAATGGTGTAACATTAGAAAATGTTGATCATTTCTACTACCTTGGCAGCCACCTCTCCACAAAAGTCAACATCGACACTGAAATATAACACCACCTGAGCTCTGCGAGTGCAGCTTTTTTCCGAATGCAGAGAGTGTTTGAGGCCCGGGACATCCATAGGGATACCAAAGTGCTTGTTTATAAAGCTATTGTCCTCCCAACCCTGCTATACGCCTGCGAGACGTGGACTGTCTACAGATGTCACATGCAACTCCTGGAACGATTCCATCAGCGCTGCCTTTGGAAAATCATGAAAATCTCTTGGGAAGAAAAGCGGACAAATGTCAGCGTGCTGGAGGAAGCAAAGACCACCAGCACTGAAGCGATGGTCCTCCATTATCAATTCTGCTGGACTGGCCACGTTGTCCAGATGCCCGATCACTGTCTCGCAAAGCAGTTACTCTACTCCGAACTCAAGAACGGAAAACCGAATGTTGGTGGGCAGGAAAAGAGATTTAAAGATGGGCTCAAAGCCAACCTTAAAAACTCTGCCATAGATACTGAGAACTGGGAAGCCCTGGCCCTTGAGCGTTCCAGCTGGAGGTCAGCTGTGACCAGCAGTGCTGTAGAATTTGAAGAAGCACGAATGGAGGGCGCAAGAGAGAAATGTGCCAAGAGGAAGGCGCGTCAAGCCAACACTGACTGGGACCGCCTTCCACTTGGAAACCAATGCCCTCACTGCGGGAGAATGTGCAGGTCAATAATAGGGCATCACAGTCACCAAGACCCACAGTACACTGACCTTGGAAGACGATCCTACTCAAGACAATGTGGGATTGCCTCATTATTATTAATTACTGTACATACTCGAGTATAAGCCTAGTTTTTCAGGCCTTTTTTTGGGCTGAAAAAGTCCCTCTCGGCTTATACTGGAATCAAGGTTATTTTTTATTTTACTCTGTTATAAATACGTAATGAATTTATTATTATTATAATATTATTATTATTATTATTACATTTATTATTTTACTTTATTGTTGTTATGATTACATTTATTATTTTACTCTATTTATTATTGTTATTATCACATTTATTATTTTACTCTATTTTTATTGGAAGGGTATGCAAGTTTTATGTAAAAATTACAGTTTTATGTAAATATTCAAAAACATTTAACCTCCTGATGCCTCAATTAATGTAATTTTATTGGTATCTATTTTTATTTTGAAATTTACCAGTATCTGTTGCATTTCCTACCCTCAGCTTATACTCGGGTCAATCTATTTTCCCGTTTTTTTGTGGTAAAATTAAGTGCCTCGGTTTATATTCGGGTCGGCTTATACTTGAGTATATATGGTATTTATTATTATTATTATTATTTAATTATTATTGTCAGGTTTGTAGGGCAGTTGACAGCAGGGTATTTGGAAGGCCCCTCACATAGAAATAAATAAATAAATAAATAATATCGTCCTAAATGAAGCTGACTTGACAGCAGTTAACGGCAAACCGAATTAGAACTTGACCTACTGATTTTTTTTGCTGAACAACAAAGAAAAGTACAAATAGTGCCATATTAAAAGCATTAATGTATTTAAGCAGTAAGAAGGAGTTAAGCCTAAACACACTGCTAGTTTGGTAACTGATTAGGCAACAGTGAAACAGAGAATCAATTGTGAATCATTATATCACCACTCCATGTCTTCCTGTTGTTAAGCATACATTCTACCTCATCTTTCTGCTCTGAAATCAAAAATCTGCTGCTAAGGAACTCGAGATGTGCACTGTTGACTTATGATAAGGATTAAGATTTCAGTCTCTGGATCGAGGTGTAAATCCACATAACTAACTTTCTCCACTTTTTCTGGTATCACCTGGGCCAAGAAACAGCATACTGTCATCCTGTTGTCATACTCCATTAACATACCTTTGGCCGGTAAAATACATTCTGTACAGACAACATTGAGACAATGGTGAGCATCTCTTCACTGCAACCCAGGTGAACTGACATGATGAGCATCTTGCACAGCATGGGCTCCAGGGGAAATTCTGCCATCTGCATAATAGGAATGAAAGAACATGAAAACAAATAGTTGGAAGAGACAGCACGGACATTTGGTCAAACCTCCTGCCATGCAGGAACAGCACCCCCAACAGATATCCAGTCTCTGTTTAAAAGCTTCCAAGGAAAGAGCTTCCACCACACTCCAAGGCAGAGAGTTCTACTGCTGAACAGCTCTTACAGCCAGGAAGTTCTTCCTAATGTTCAGGTGGAATCTCTTTTACTGTAACTTGAACCCATTGTTTGGTTGTTTCACAAGATTTATGCAGATTTTTAAAGAACAAATCATGAATATTAGTTTATCCGATTGAAACATGACCTGACAAAATAATAGTAATAATATTTATTTATTTATTTCGTATCAAAAGCATTGAATAAATTGAGTTGTTGTAGGTTTTTTCGGGCTATATGGCCATGGTCTAGAGGCATTCTCTCCTGACGTTTCGCCTGCATCTATGGCAAGCATCCTCAGAGGTAGTGAGGTCCTTTGGAACTAGGAAAAAGGTTTATATATCTGTGGAATGACCAGGGTGGGACAAAGGACTATTGTCTGCTGGAGCTAGGTGTGAATGTTTCAACTGGCCACCTTGATTAGCCAGTCACCTATAGACTGGATTACTGTAATGCACTCTATGTGGGGCTGCCCTTGAAAACGGCTCAGAAATTCCAGATGGTCCAACGGGCGGCAAGCAGGCTGTTAACCGGGGCTCCTTACAGGGAGCGGTCAACCCTAAGGAGCTCCACTGGCTGCCATTCATTTTCCGGACCCAATTCAAGGTGCAGGTTCTTATCTACAAAGCCATGAACGGTTTGGGACCCGCCTACCTGCGTGACCGCATTTCTGTATACGAACCCACACGATCTCCTCGATCATCTATCTGGAGAGGCCCTGCTCACGCTCCCACCTGCATCGCAGGCACGATTGGTGGGGACAAGAGAGAGGGCCTTTTCTATGGTAGCCCCTCGACTCTGGAACTCACTTCCTAAGGACATCAGACATGCCCCAACTCTGGCAGTCTTTAGGAGGAGCTTGACGACATGGTTGTTCCAGTGTGCCTTCCCAGAATAATGATCCCACAGCACTTTGTCCTCCAAAGCACTTTACATGGTTTAGATCTGCTTGTATGTTTTCCACAAATGCCCCATCACTTTTTTCGCCCATATTCCAGCATTATTTTAATTTTAATCCTACATTTGGCCTTCCCATGGTTTTAATTGTGTGTTGTCGTATTGTTAATGCTTATGTTATTTTATTTTATTGTCTATGTTTTATTTTAATTGCTTGTATTGTTGTTATTATTGCTTGTATTGTTGTATTTGGGCTCGGTCTCATGTAAGCCGCCACGAGTCCCTTGGGGAGATGGTAGCAGGGTACAAATAAAGTATTATTATTATTATTATTATTATTATTATTATTATTATTATTATAAAAGCTAGGAAAAGAGAGGGACAGGGGGGAATCATGTCTGGATGTATGTTGGAACCAGTTTTAAGCAGTATCCAGAAAGTCTGCAATGGTATTATTTTAGTTATGCAAGACTTACCAGATCTGGTTGTTTCACATGTTCGTTTTATTAGTTTTGGATAATGAAACATGTTGAACTACTCTTTCATTTTGTAGTATAAGAACCTATACCTATTCTTTCCATGGCACCAGTTTCTACTCATCCCCAGGAATGCCTAATTGTTAACTGAGGTATACCTGTAGAAATCTGGATATAAACACAAGATGTTACGCAAACCCTCAGCCAAACTCTACTCTAGTTTGCACCCAAACCGCAGTAGAGAGACTTGAATAAAGCAGAACCTACTCGGCGTCCGAGTCGAGTGAGTAGCCCCTCATCATCCAGGGCTCCCAAGGTGTAGAGCTGCTCCATTGCGGTGATGAGTGTTTCCATTGGGGGGGCATCCATGAAATCAAAAGAGAGCAGGTCATTGATTCCCATAGCCTGTAAGTATAAAAAGGTGGAGTGGAGAGAAAGAGAGAGAATGAACATGCATGCTATAAGCATATCTGACAAGTAGTAAAGATTCAGTCATGTGTTTTCAAAGGCATAATCAAAGATACATAGTGAAACCTTCTGAACTGGTTATTAAACCATGAGAACTGACCTTGAGCGAGAGCACAGTACTGGCCAGGTTGGTCCTCTGAATCTCAGGGACGTTGGTGGTCAACATCTCATCACGGTAAGCACGCTCTGTGTACAGGCGGTAGCATTTGCCAGGGCCTGTTCTCCCAGCCCGTCCAGCTCGCTGCTTTGCTTGGGCCTGAGGAAATCACAACAAAGAAACCACAGAGATGCACAAATTACTTCTATTGCTTTTGCAGGATGTTTTATTTAGTGCCAGCAAGCTTGATACAAGTACAAAATGTGTGGCCTTTCTGATGCTGGTCTGCAATTCCCATCAGTCCTAAGTCCCACAGCCAATGGGAAAAGATGGGAAATAATATCTGGAGGGTCATATGTTATAGGAATACAGAAAGAATTAGAAGTCTTGCAATCAAGACAGGCTGGACAAGAAGAGAACCCAGAAAACACTTACTAATGAGGTAACCGGGATATGATACAGAGGAATGCAAAACCAGAACATACAGGGTGCAGTAGCATAACTTTCTTTTTTAAAAACTTAATAAAACCCATTGTATGAATCAGAAAAAAAACTTTTTAATGTAGGTGCATACCGAAAGTTTTGTTTTATGTAGCTTTGAAGTTCAAATTAGGTCCCCCATTCTCCATACACTGAGTAATAAACCAATTTCTGGCGTTTGTCATGACTCTTGCCAGCATAGCAGGCGTTACGTTGGCAATTTCTTCCTGGATGTTGGTCTTCAAATCTTGTAGGGTCCTTGGACAGTTCACAGAAACATGGGATTTCAAAAAAAACCCATAGAAAAAAATCACAAGGGGCCAAATCTGGTGAGCGGGCCGGCCACTCCAAATCCCCCCTAATTGAGATGAGGCGCTCTGGGAAGTGGTCCCTCAAAACAGCCATCGATGCTCTTGAAGTGTGTGCAGTTGCACCGTCTTGTTGGAACCAAATGTCCCCTAAGTCCAACCTATCTAGCCGTGGGGGAAAAAATTCCTGTAACATGTTTACATACCGGTCTGAATTCACTGTCACTGCAACTTCATTTTCCTCAAAGAACCAGGGACCAATAATTCCAGCTGAGGAAACTGCACACCACACTGTGATTTTAGGTGAATGCAAAGGCCTTTGATGCAATTCTCGAAGATTGTTGTCAACCCAGTAGTGCATGTTTTGTTTGTTGACGGATCCACACAAATGTAAATAGGATTCATTGCTTAAAAAAAAAAAGCATCCTCAGGAACAACTTTGAGAAGAACCTCACACACGTTCCTCCGAGAAGTGAAGGCACGTTCAGAAATTTCCTGCACAATCGCTATCTTGTAAGGATGGAAATGAAGATCATCATGAAGAATTCTCCTCACAAAACAATCGGAAAGTCCAAGGGCAGACGCATGTTTGTGTGCAGAACGCCATGGTGATCGCAACATTGAAGCTCTCACTGCCTCAATGTTCTCAGGTGATCTAATGGGCCGAGGGACTCCGGTTCTTCGTCTTGTCGCACTTGCAGTTTGACTGAATGTAGTGACCCACATTACAAATGATTTCCGGTCTGGGACAGGGGCCAAAGGGGCTAAATTAAAGCAAATCTGAAAGGCATGTTGGGTTGCGATCACAAAACATCCGCTCGAAAAGTAGGCCTCAACGGCAAAAGCACGCTCCTCACTGTTCCAACGCATGATGGCGACTGAACTGTGTCTGGACAAAACTTTATACTCCCGCTTCTCGAACGAGACCACTAGCGCTCCGCTACGTCTTCAACTGACTGAATGGTGCACATTTTAAAAAAGGAAGTTATGCTGCTGCACCCTGTAGAACAAGGATAGGAAGCAGTCCAAGAAGAGCTTTATCAAATTAATGGAGGATTTTAGTGTACAGCATTTAACATGCTAATAATCTCCGGTTTCATTTTTAAAATATCACATTTTTGCCCTTAGGATGATAAATTAAAAAGTGGGTAGGCATTGTTTTGTAGAATAAGGATGGAGGTGGTGGCGGGAAGCAGAGGCTCAATTATATAATTTAAAATTTCACAGAATGAAACAAGGTAAATGCATCCCATCTGGTAAAGTTCTGGTGTCTCCTTCTTATCCCAACTCTGGGTTCCAAATAGAGCAGTCATCCAGCATACATTGCATACCTGGGAAATTGGTGTCACAACGAGTTGATCAATCCCTGTCTTGGAGTTGTATACTTTTTGCTTCACAAAGCCAGGATCTACCACATAATAGATGCCATCAATCGTAAGCGACGTTTCAGCAATGTTTGTGGCAATGACTACCTGAATAAGGAAAAAAGTTTGGAGCTCATTTGAGGTCAGACAATATGACAAGAAGAGATATCAAAGTGGGGTTTTACTGAAATTGTCTCCATCATACTCTATTCAGCTAAAGTCAGAGATAATACCTATTGGACTGCCTTGCAGAAACTGTTAGAGATGCCCTCTCTGAAAATACAGTATGAGAAGACATTAGAACAGTGGTTTTGCAGATCCATTAAATAGGATTCAATGGGCAGCTCTAACTGGGATTATAAATAGGACTGAGCCCTAGGCCATATTGCAAGAATGGGAGATGTTCTTATTTATTTACTAGCTGTCCCCTGCCACATGTTGCTGTGGCCCAGTCTGTGTATATGTGTTTTGTGTGTATATATATTTGTGTATATGTGTGTTTGTGTATATATATGTGGTTTTGCGCATGCGTTGTAATGTATTTATTGTTTTTGGCTTTCAAAGTCTCTTTTGCTGTGCTTTTCAGTGTTTTTATAAGTGATGGTCACTCACTGGCCTGATAGGTGTATTGTGTCCAAATTTGGTGTCAATTTATCCATTGGGTTTTGAGTTATATTAATCCCACAAATGAACATTACATTTTTATTTATATAGATTTTTTTAAAATTTAAAACATTTATATTCCGCCCTTTCACCCTGAAGGGGACTCAGGCGGAGCACAACAGACAAACGGCAAACATTCAATGCCGAGACATAAATAAATTATACACACACAGTACATAAGCATTCAAATCATTTATCTCTACACTAGCCGTCCCCTGCCACGCGTTGCTGTGGCCCACATGGGGGTTCTGTGTGGGAGGGTTGGCCCAATTCTATCGTTGGTGGGGTTCAGAATGCTCTTTGACTGTAGATGAACTATAAATCCCAGCAACTACAACTCCCAAATGTCAAGATTCTATTTCCCCCAAACTCCACCAGTGTTCACTTTTGGGCATATTGAGTATTCTTGTAGAGTTTGGTCCAGATCCATCATTGTTTGACTCCACAGTCATCTTTGGATGTAAGTGAACTACAACTCCAAAACCAAAGGACACTGCCCACCAAATCCTTCCTGTATTTTCTGTTGGTCATGGGAGTTCTGTGTGCCAAGTTTGATTCAATTCCGCCACTGGTGGATTTAAGAATTCAATTCCATCGTTGGTGGGGTTCAGAATGTTCTTTGATTGTAGGTGAACTATAAATCCCAGCAACTACAACTCCCAAATGACAAAATAATTTTTTTTGAGTGAAAGACATACATTGGGTTGTTCGGTGTCTTGTGTCTAAATTTGGTGTCAATTAGTCCAGTGGTTTTTGAGTTCTGTTAATACCACAAACGGACATTACATTTTTATTTATATAGATTAAAATACACCGTATAAAACCGCCTCTACAAATTTCATCAGACTCAGCCCAAATAACGCTTATTTCTTGGGTTGAGAAATAACACAATGTAACACAATTTGTTCCTGGGTTATAAATGCCATTCCCTAACTGGTTCTATCATAAAAACATGCAAAAAATGTATTAAACTGTAAAATCTTTGCTTTTGCTGTCTGCACAAAAGGTTAAAAATGGCACATTGAAAGGAGTACAACAGCTACTTTTAAAGTTAAAAAGGTAAAGGTTGTCCCCTGACATGAAGTCCAGTCATGTCTGACTCTGGGGTGTGGTGCTCATCTCCATTTCTAAGCCGAAGAGCCAGCGTTGTCCGTAGACATCTCCAAGGTCATGTGGCCGGCATGACTGCATGGAGCGCTGTTACCTTCCCGCCGGAGCGGTACCTATCGATCTACTCACATTTGCATGTTTTCGAACTGCTAGGTTGGCAGAAGCTAGGGCTGACTTTCAAAGTTAGTATCGCACAATTAAACAGAAAAGAATACTTTCAAACCAGGAACAGATTTGTTTCCACATTTGGTTACATAGAATATTTTTTTTAAATTAACAGACTTAGACAGCAAAACAGCAAGAAAGCCTCAACATTTAAACGTAAGATTGTTAAGCTTCCAAAAAAAGAAGAGTAAAATCATCACTAAAATTAGCCTTATTATGATGCAGCAAGTCCAGCACTAACTTTTCAAAAGTCAGGAGCCTTGAAATTACAGGGTTATTAGCCAAATTTCTGCCTCAATGAATGTAAAGCATAATTTTTTAAATGTTAAAAATATACAGAAGAACATGGCTTGCTAGACAAAGATCTGTATGGCTTGTATTAAGGGTAGTCCAATTATGGTGACCCCACTATTAACTGATGCTCTAAAGCAGGGGCCCTCAAAACCTTCTAAACAGAGGGCCAGGTCACAGTCCCTCAAACTGTTGAAGGGTCAGCTTATAATTTGAAAAAAAAAATGAATGAATTCCTATGCACACTGCACAGATCTTATTTTAAAAAATCTTAAATAATTCAAATGAAGAACAATTTTAACAAATATAAAGTTATTAGTATTTCAGTGGGAAGTGTGGGCCTGCTTTTGGCTTATGAGATAGGATTGTTGTTGTGTGCTTTCAAGTTGTTTCAGACTTAGGTTGACCCTGAGCGAGGGTTGGGTAAATGACCTTGGAGGACCATATCTGGCCCTTGGGCCTTAGTTTGAGGACCTCTGATCTAAAGGAAAGACTATAACTTTTGGGATGCGGCATTCAATGGGCTCTTAATCCAACTCAGAAGGAACCTCTCCTATGCATCATATTATAATGAGACAATTCATTGGGGTAGGAAGTATAGGGACACTTACCTTTCGGCTGCCTGGAGGAGCAGGATCAAAAATCCGTGTTTGCATCTCGCTCGGTAGGGCTGAATAGACAGGTAAGATGATCAGTTCAGGCACATCCGGACCCAGGGACTTCATCCTCTCATAGAGAATTTCACAGGCAGTGTCAATCTCCTCCTGGCCAGTTAAAAACACCAAGATGTCTCCTGCAAAAAGGTAAATCAATCTCTGTTGTTAGGCTGACCCATAGGTAGCTCATGTCCCAACTCCACAAATAAAATTGTAAGTTTGCAGTCATAGAATCATAGAATCCTAGAGTTGGAAGAGACCTCATGGGCCATCCAGTCCAACCCCCTGCCAAGAAGCAGGAAAATTGCATTCAAAGCACACCCAACAGATGGCCATCCAGCCTCTGTTTAAAAGCTTCCAAAGAAGGAGCCTCCACCACACTCTGGGGCAGAGAGTTCCACTGCTGAACGGCTCTCACTGTCAGGAAGTTCTTCCTCATATTCAGATGGAATCTCCTTTCTTGTAGTTTGAAGCCATTATTCCACGTCCTAGTCTCCAGGGAAGCAGAAAACAAGCTTGTTCCCTCCTCCCTGTGACTTCCTCTCACATATTTATACATGGCTATCATATCTTCTTTCAGCCTTCTCTTCTTCAGGCTAAACATGCCCAGCTCTTTAAGCCGCTCTTCATAGGGCTTGTTCTCCAGACCCTTACTTTCCCATTTATGACAGCAAGCCAATATTCACAACTGAACTTTTGACTAAGTGAAACAGAGATCTCAGAATACAAACTTCATGGCTGTAAGATAAGATTGAAAATATGTAACCTGTCCTGCCTAAAGAAACATAATTTGATGGCAAGTATAGAATATACCCAGCGATTAACAAAATATTGACACACACATAGCCTGATGATTTGTTAAGTCCTCCTTGTTTGATTGAGGAAAGAAAAGTTCTGTTGTTTCAGATGCTAGTGAGTCTTTGAAAACATTTAAGATAGAAGAAGACAGGACTGGCAATTTACTGACAATCTTTTCTTGCCCTACAAACAATTGATATGTTAATCTTGATAACAGAAAGTGTCACCCCAAAGGAGATTCATCAGGGAATGCAAGCTGTTTATGGTGATTGTGTTGATGTGAGTACTGTGTGTCGCTGAGTGAGAAAGTTTAAAGATGTTGAGGTGACACCTTCTGCTGTCAAGAATTTCAATGACTGCACGTTGCTTAAGTTGCACTGACTGACCGTCTGTGTAAGGTTCCATACTTCGGACTTTAAAAACACAACTGTCGCGAAATTGCTACTCTATGTTAAATTTTTGGTGTATAGTTCTATGTTTACATATGGCAGATAGGGAAGAATAGGCACAGACAGGGTAGCAACAGCAGAGATAGGATTCATTTGCATATGGAAGCTGATTGGTCATATGCAGATTAGCGTAGGCCCAGGATTTGAAAAGGTTGCTAGGCCAAAATGACAGTTGGGAAGAGCAGAGCTAAACATTCCAAAGAGGCGGAGCCAAAGTTTTAAAAATAGGCAGTTAGAGAGTCAAAAGAGAGTTAGGAATTGCTGTTTGTGAAGAGAGTTAGGGATTCCTGTTTGTGAAAGACAGTTAGGAACTTCTGTGAGAGAAAAGAGTTAGGAACTCCTGTGAGAAATAAGCAGTTATGAAGATGTGTTAAAGACTTCTGATATATAGAAGCAGTTAGTTAAACAGAGCTCAATTTTTAGGAACATAAAGAAAGCCAGTGGTGCTTTAGTCAGAAAATAATTTCAGTCAAGAGTGTGTAAAGCAAGTAACATGTTTGTGAAACATGGAAAGTCTACTTCAGAAAAGTAAACCAAGCATATTATACTGACTGTAAGCCTCAAGATTGCAACAAAACATAAATGTAACCGCAAGCATTGGAGCTAGAAGTTATAAATAAACTGTGTTACTTCGTTATACAGAAGTGTATCTCAGTGCCTGTTCAAAGGTTAAACAGAACACAGAAAGTCCCAGCTAATATAAAAAAAGAAACTGAATCATTATAAGAGTACAGAGGTTTTTAATAAATAAAGAAATAGTCTCTCCCTCACTACAATATAAAATGGTGGCAGTGGTGGGATAGAAAAGAAAGGTCTCCCCTGCCACACAACCATGCCTTTACTTTCCCTCACAACAACTGTTCAATGCTAAGGCTTTCCGCCAAAATGGAACTGTAGAGGAGAGTCTACTGAACAAGCCGATACCTGCCACATACCAGTACTGCCATCTGTTGAGGAGTTACGAAGATGGAGGCATTACTTTTCATTCAACCCTTGTATGAACAGCACAAAGAAACAGCAGGATTCTACTTTAGGTAATCTAAATATTGTGTGTGCCTCTTTAACAACAGGCAAGGTAAAAGCAGATGCCGTCGGAGTTGCTTACTGAGCATGAATGAGCAGCACAACAGAAGGACAAGAGAGCAGATAAGCCCCACTAACTCCCCTCAGTATGAGTAGTAAATGTATTCATTGTGCAAAGATGGCAAAATAACTGGGTGAAAAAGTACCAATTTCACAACACTTCTTTGCAATTTGGGACGATATCCTTAGGATCAGTCTCACTCCATACCTGGCGGCTCTGTTAAGTGGATCTGCATGACTGTGATGAGGCTGGCATCCAGGTAATCGGTCTCTGGCTCCTTAGTATAAAGAATCTCAACTGGATACGTCCTGCCTGGGATGGTGAAGATGGGGGCCTCGTAGAAGTATTGAGAGAACTTGACTGCATCCAAGGTGGCGGATGTCACAATCAGTTTCATGTCTTGTCTCTTCTGAACTGTCTGCAGGAGACAAACATTGATAGGGTGATGTCAAGTGTGGTAAAGTAATATAAAGAGATACAAGCCAGAAAACCAGGAGCCTCCAAATGGAAGCCAAAGTAACCCATTAACCTAACCCATGTCTGGCATTCAAAACAAAAATACTTTTTGTTACTGTTCTGAGCAAACATCTTTCATAACTGCTGATATTAGTAGCTATTTATAATAATAATAATAATAACAATAATAATAATAACAACAACACTTTATTTGTACCCCGCTACCATCTCCCCAGGGGACTCGGTGCGGCTTACATGAGGCCGAGCCCAATACAAGCAATAAAATAACAATACAAGTAATTAATTAAAAAAAACATAGACAATAAAAAATACAACATTATTAATAAGACAACACATAATTAAAAACAGTGGGAAGGCCATATGTAAAATTAAACATTAAAATTGGAAGTGATGCTGGGACATAAACGGAAAGGCGATAGTGGTGTTTGTGGAAGGGGCTTACAAGCAGACCTAAAGAAATGTAAAGTGCTTTGGAGGACAAAGTGCTATGGGATCATTATTCCGGGAAGGCGCACTGGAACAACCACGTCTTCAAGCTCCTCCTGAAGACTGCCAGAGTTGGGGCCTGTCTGATGTCTTCAGGGAGTGAGTTCCAGAGTCGAGGGGCCACCACCGAAAAGGCCCTCTCTCTCGTCCCCACCAATCGTGCCTGCGAGGCTGATGGGATCGAGAGTAGGGCCTCTTCGGATGATCGAAGGGATCGCGTGGGTTCGTATATAGAGATATGGTCACGCAGGTAGGCAGGTCCCAAACCGTTCAGGGCTTTGTAGGTAAGAACCTGCACCTTGAACTGGGTCCAGTAGATGAATGGCAGCCAGTGGAGCTCCTTGAACAGGAGGGTTGACCGCTCCCTGTAAGGAGCCCCAGTTAACAACCTGGCTGCCGCCCATTGGATCATCTGGAATTTCCGGGCCATTTTCAAGGGCAGCCCCACGCAGAGTGCATTGCAGTAATCCAGTCTAGAGGTGACTAAGGCGTGGACCACCTTGGCCAGATCCGCCTTCCCGAGGTACGGTCGCAGTTGGCACACGAGTCTTAGTTGTGCAAAGGCCCTCCCGGCCACCACCGACACCTGAGCCTCAAACGTAAGTGAAGAATCCAGGAGGACCCCCAGACTGCGGACATGCGACTTCAGGGGGAGTGCAACCCCGTCCAGCACAGGTTGCCACCCTATACCCCGATCTGGTTTACAATCGACCTGGAGGACCTCTGTCTTGTTGGGATTAATCTTCAGCCTGTTCGTCCTCATCCAGGTAGCCACAGCGGTCAGGCACTTGTCTAGCACTCGAGGGGCTTCCTTGGAGTTAGGTGGAAAAGAGTAGTAGAGTTGTGTGTCATCTGCATAGAGATGGCACCCAACTCCAAAACTCCGGATGACCTCACCCAGTGGTTTCATGTAGAAGCATGGGAGACAAAATGGAACCTTGCGGGACCCCACAGGTCAACGGCCAGGGGTCCGAGCAGGTGTCTCCCAATACTTATGAAGGTATTGCAATACTTATGAAGGTATTGCTAACACTGGCCAACACACATTTTGGTGCCCAAAAGGTTAGACCTGTTTCCAGGTATATTTGACCTGCTGGTTCACAAAAAGGCACTTGTTTTTGAGATACAGAACATATCCCATCTACTAGTCACTATCTGCTCATCCACAGAAACAAATTATAACCACATCTAAGAAACTAGAACTGATGTAGTCTATCCATTGCAATTTTCTGAACCACTGCCCCAAATAATCCCAGGAACAAGTCTAAAAACCATGACACCAAGATTTTTTTTGGTTGGGCTGTGTAATTAATACATTAGTTTTAGGGCAGTGGTTCTCAACCTTCCTAATGCTGCGACCCCTTAATAGTTCCTCATGCTATGGTGACCCTCAACCATAACTTTATTTTTGTTGCTACTTCATAACTGTAATTTTGCTACTGTTATGAATTGTAATGTAAATATCCGATATGCAGAATAGATTTTCATTCACTGGACCAAATTTAGCACAAATATCTGATACACCCAAATCTGAGTAATGGTGAGGTTGGGGGGATTGATTTTGTCGTTTGGGAGTTGTAGTTGCTGGGATTTATAGTTCACCTACAATTAAAAAGCATTCTGAACACCACCAATGATAGAATTGGGCCAAACTTCCCACACAGAATCCCTATGCTTTGAAGGGATTCCCTGGCATGAGCCTCCCTCCAGCCTTGCACTCTCCCTCACCCGCACATGCACAGATGCCCACTACGCTGCCCTATGCTGAGCCCGCCTACTCTCCCCTCCCAGCTTGGAGTCTCAGAAACATCCCTTCCCTTGGCTGAGCGGTCAGCCAATCACAGTGGAGCAGGGTGGGAAGATTCGCAGCCTGTTTCCAAAAAGGGAGAGAAGAACAGGCAGAGAGATCTTCAGCATTCTCTGCCAAAGGGGTTTCTAAGACCATTAGAAATATATGTTTTGTTATGGTCTTTGGCGACCCCTCTGAAACATCCTTGCGACTCACCAAGCGGTCCCGACCCCCAGGTTGACAAACATTGTTTTAGGGGGAAAAGAAATAAGTGGATACCTTTTTCAGGAGACCAAAGAGCACATCCGTGTGTATAGTGCGCTCATGGGCTTCATCCAGCATGATGATTGCATATTGTGTCAGATCAGGATCAATGAGGCACTCTCGCAGCAGCATACCATCTGTCATGTACTTGATCACAGTCTCAGGGCTGGTGCAGTCCTCAAATCGAATGGTGTAGCCAACCTGCAAGCAAGAAGAGGGGGAGAAACAGTAATGGGAAGCTGCTTTCACTCTAGCACAGCGGCACTCAGGACAGTTGTTTTGCAAAAAAATATCAGTTTAATAGCACTGGGGAATCTCAAGCTACTGGATAAGAACTGGGCTTTTGCTGTGTGTTTTATGGCGGTTCTGAAACTAACCACATCTGTATGTCACTCAAAGGATAGAAGCTGAACTATGTGGGTTTCACAATTCAGGACGTACACCATATAGAAAAAAATAATAATATTAATTTCGAAAAAAGCACCTCGTAAATGTGCAATTGAACCAAGATATTACAGGTTTCTAGCCCTTCAGACTGTGAAGAGTCCAGATCCCTAGAAGAAATCTACATAAGCAGAAGTGGGGTTTTCAGAGCTGGTGTAGAATGGGGCATTCATGTTCTGCACAGCTAACAGAATAGAATTAATTTTTTTATTAATAGGCCACATGTAATGGTATATCTATCTATGTATAAATGCTCTGTGCACAATGAGTACCTTAAAAACAAAAGAAGCAATGAATGAAATCACACCAAATTTGCCAACAAAACGTATCACAACACAAGGAGTGACCATCACTCAAAAATTATGATTTTGTCATTTGGGAGTTGTAGTTGCTGGGATTAATAATTCACCTACAATCAAAGAGCATTCTGAACTCCATCAATGAAGGAATTGAACCAAACTTGGCACACAGAACTCCCATGACCAACAGAAAATTCTGGAAGGGTTTGGTGGGCATTGACCTTGAGTTTAGGAGTTGTAGTTCACCTACATCCAGAGAGCACTGTGGACTCAAACAATGATGGATCTGGACCAAACTTGGCACAAGCACTCAATATGCCCAAATATGAACACAGATGGAGTTTGGGGGAAATAGACATTGACATTTGGGAGTTGTAGTTACTGGGATTTATAGTTCACCTACAATCAAAGAGCATGCTGAACCCCACCAATGATAGAACTGGGAAAAACCTCCCACACAGAACCCCCATGACCAACAGAAAATACTTAAGGCCATCCAGTCCAACTCCCTTCACCAGGGCAAGAAACGTAATCAAAGCCCTCCTGACAAAGAGCCATCCAGCTATAGATATAGATAGATAGATAGATAATGATTCACACACACAGATATAGTATCATAGATTTGAAAGGGACCCCTCAAGAAGGCCAATTGCATGTTCCATGTTCCAGAGTAGGCAAACCAGACAATCTCCACATCAACACTGACAAAGAAATAGCAAGAAATACTGTTTACCCACAAGCATAAAGACATTATATATATTAGAAACCAACGTTTTCTCATTACTTTATTTCCCAGATCACCAGACTGGGCCACAGCAATGTGTGCTAAGAGACAGCTATTATAGGAATAAAAATAATATCAATTTCAAAAATAAGCACCTCGTAAATGTGCCATTGAAGCAAGATATTACAGGTTTCTAGCCCTTCAGACTGTGAAGAGTCCAGATCCCTGGAAATGTAGATTTCTTCTAGGGATCTGGACTCTTCACAGTCTACTTATGTAAAGTAGAAGTGGGGTTTTCAGAGCTGGTGTAGAATGGGGCATCCATGTTCTGCACAGTTAATAGAATAGAATTATTTTTTCAATTAATAGGCCACATGTAATGGTGTATCGTTTATAAAGGTGGTCTGATTTATTATTATTTTAATTTTTTTATTGGGTTGCCTTACCTCCTGACCCAAACAGCAACCAAACTCCTCTGACACCCTCTTGGCAACAGACATGGCAGCCACTCGGCGAGGCTGAGTGCATCCTATCTTTCCACGGGAGGTATAGCCAGCTTCAGCAAGGTACTGAGTGATCTGCGTAGTTTTCCCAGAACCAGTCTCTCCAATGACTATCAGAATTTGGTTGTCATGAACGGCCTAAAAATGGGAAGATTTTGAAGAAGGAAGGTTTATATGAGAATAGGTTCATAGGTAAGGTTATTACACTCAAGCCTCTTCCCATTTTTATTTCTGTGTTTAACATCCTGTTCCTATGAATAAACCACTCTGAAGTTTATTTTTAAATCACATTAGTAAAACCAATGATGCAGAAATGGGCCTACAAATTCATGCAAAAATGAGAATGTCATCCCAAAAAATACAGACTTTCAGACGAAATTACTGCAAGATAGGATCCTATAAATTTAAGCTTGAAATATATTTAAAAGTTTGTACTGTTACTGCAAGACAGAGTTGAACAGGCACCCAAATCCATTTCTATACATAAATTTTGTCCTATATTCCGAAAATTCCCTACATGACAACTTTGGGCGTTATGCTTGCTGACTTTGATTTTGAATATCTGTAACAGCAAATCTGTGTGCAGAGATCATTTTCATCTATGTAGACTGCTCCCAAGTTTATATTTTACATAAATACAAAACTATTTTAGCTTTAAAATGTTTCACTGAATAATTTTATTCTTCTTAATGTGTACTATTTTATTCTCTGGAGTGTAAGTTACTAGGGATATTTTATATGAAAAAGACAGTAACATATTAAATTGCATCATCATCACCAACTGCAGGTTTTGGGTTTTCTAGGTAAAGGTTTCCCCCTGACATTAAGTGTTAGTCATGTGCGACTCTGGGAGGTGGTGCTCATCTCCCACAGCATTGTTCATAGACACCTCCAAGGTCATGTGGCCAGCATGACTGATGGAGCGCCGTTACCTTCCTGCCAAAATGGTATTTATTTATTATTTATTTACTTTATTTGTATACCGCTCTTCTCAGCCCTAAGACGACTCAGAGCGGTTAACAACAACAATTCAGTATACACAATAGAAAATCATTGGACATTTAAAAACAGTAGCATAACAATTAATTAGACACCAAACATCAATACATCAATATAACAGATCCATCACGTCTCATCAATAAAATCAGAATCCAGTTTCATTATCCATTATTCCGTGTTCCAATAATCAATTACACTCAATTACACTGCTTGGTTGAATGCCTGTTCGAACAGCCAGGCCTTCACTCTCCTCTGGAATGCCAATAGGGAGGGGGCCGATCTGATATCTGTAGGAAGGGCGTTCCACAGCCGAGGGGCCACCACTGAGAAGATCCTGTCTCTCGTCCCCACCAGGCGTACTTGTGAAGTCGGTGGGACCAAGAGCAGGGCCTCCCCAGACGATCTTAATGTCCTAACTGGTTCACAGGAGGAGATGCGTTCAGACAGGTAGGTCGGGCCAGAACCGTTTAGGGCTTTAAAGGCTAAAGCCAGCACTTTGAATTGTGCCCGGTAGCAAATTGGCAGCCAGTGGAGCTGGCGCAACAGAGGAGTTGTATGCTCCCTGAGTGCCGCTCCTATTGATTTACTCACATTTACATGTTTTCAACATGCTAGGTTGGCGGAAGCTGGGGCTAGCAGCAGGAGCTCATCTGCTCTCCAGATTTGAACTTTTTGGTCAACAAGTTTAGCAGCTCAGCAGTTTAACCTGCTGTGACACCAGGGGCCCTTGGGTTTTTGACTTGCAGAATTTAAAGACAGGCAAGCAAAATTATTTATATACTCTTGGTGGCGCAGTGGGTTAAAGACCTGAGCTGCTGAGCTTGTTAACCGAAAGGTCACAGATTCGATTCCGGGGAGCGGCGTGAGCTTCCGCTGTCAGCCCTAGCTTCTGCCAACCTAGCAGTTCGAAAACATGCAAATGTGAGTAGATCAATAGGTACCGCTCTGGCGGGAAGGTAACGGCGCTCCATGCAGTTATGCTGGCCACATGACCTTGGAGGTGTCTACGGACAGCGCCAGCTCTTCAGCTTAGAAATAGAGATGAGCACCACACCCCAGAGTTGAACACAACTGGACTTAATGTCAGGGAACAACCTTTACCTATTATTTATTAAGTAAAATATTTATATTCCGCCCTCTTCATCCCGCAGGGAACTCAGGACGGAGCACAACATATATATGGCAAACATTCAATGCCCGGACATAAAACCATAAATATATACAAACATTAAAATCACTTATATTCACATTAAAAGTTGCTTAAAAGCCATCTCAGGACACCATTTTGTCTCATTGCACTGCCCCAAAGGCTTGGTCCCACAGTCAGGTCTTCTTGGAATCTGGCTCAGCAGTGATGCCTCTGGTACAAAGTAGAACAGCCGAGATGACTGGAATTGAGGGCCCTTTAGCAAAATTCAAACCAAAGTATCTTTTCAAGTCTTACCTGAATAAGCTGATCCTTCAGACGGAAAATAGGGAGACTTTCCCGCTGCTCAATAATTGACAGCTGGGTTTTTTTGCCATAAGAAGCTTTATTGCCCCCAAAAGCATGTTTCTTCCACTCCGGGATGTCATTGGGCATCATGCCGATACCCCGCATGTTAGCAGCAATTTGCCTTCCATCCACTGGGAATGAGAGAGATAAAAACCAATTAACATTGTAACTCAATCTATTCTTTGGCAATATCTAGGCAGTAAAATAGAAAGAGATGCCCCCTGGAGGGAATAGAGATGACAATATGGATTCATGCAACAGCAAAAGAAACATAAAGAAAAAATTACATAAATTTCCCTTTTGCGCACACACTATTTTCAAAATTGATGACATAGAACTAATTCTACTGCTATTATCCCAACAAAGCCCCTCTGAGCAGAACATTGCCAAAGTGAGCTTTTGCGTAGATGTATATGAGTAGCTTGTAAATATTCTGTTTAAGACAAGATATGCTAGGAGCAGATGTGAAACAATGTTGGAGGAATGCCGGTTGAGATCTAAGTGGGCAAAGTGTATTCATACATGTGGAGAAGGACCTCTGAACAGCACTCGGGGTAAACAAGAAAAGGAAACTTACTTTGCATTGCTAGAACAAACCAAAAGACCACTTTGAGTCCACTTAATGACTAGCTCCAAGAATTTCAGAAGCATGGATTATTGATTTAAGAGGAAGGGCAGAAACACAGAAATATTTAGAAGCTAGGTCTATTAAGCTCTAAATGTTTATTATTACTATTAACTTTATTTATAACTTGCCTTATTCAGGTGGGGACTCAAGGTGACTAACAATCAAGGATTAGTATATTTAAAAGAACAGAGCAAGAAACATGAGATAGCACAGTTCTGTGTAAGATCTTTTGACTTGTTCTAGACCAGTGATGTGTACCAGATGTTTTGGCCTACAACTCCCAGAAATCCCAGCCAGTTAACCAGCTGTTAGGATTTCTGGGAGTTGAAGGCCAAAACATCTGTGGACCCACAGATTGAGAACCACTGATCTAGACCATGGGTGGAAGTTAGAGGCTATATATCACACTGGCCTCTAGGAGATGATGGAGGACTGCACCTATTGCTATCTCTCTATCTATCATTCCCAACTTGTCCTGGGCACCCTCAAATGCGCATACATTTTTACTATGTTTTACTATATTTATTTATTTACTATATTTATATACCGCTTTTCACAGCCCACGGGCAACTCAAAGCCGTTTATAGTAGCAAAATTCAATGCTCAAAACCATAAAACATTCAAAACAATTAAAAACAATGGCATAAATATACAATCATTACAAAGTCAATAAAACATAACTCATTAGTATCTCTTAGCTACAATCAAGATCCAACCTCATCATCCAATTGTTCCATATTCCTATGTTTGTTACACTGGCTTTTCAAATGCCTTCTCAAACAACCAGGTCTTAACTTTCCTCCAGAATGCTAACACAAAAGGGGCCAATCTAATGTCTCTAGGAAGGGCATTCCAGACCTGAGTGGCCACCTCTGAGAAGGCCCTGTCTCTCATCCCTGCCAAACGTATTTGTGACGCAGGCAAGATCAAGAGCAGGGCCTCCCCAGACAATCTTAACATCCTAGCTGGTTCATAGAAGGAGATGCATTTGGACAGGTAGGTTGGGCAGAACCATTTATTATAACCGTTTATTATATTTGGGACGCTAGGGCCATTTTACACTCACATGAGGTCTCTTTTCAACAGTAATTGATTTCTTTCTGCTTACAAAAATGTCCTAAATTGGTCCATGGGGAACAAGAATGCAGCAAAAATGCCAGCCTTTTCAACGTGACCTTTCGAAAAAGAGTCAAAACCTGGCTCTTTGAGCAAGCATTTGGAACTTCAGCATGACCAGATAAACTCAAATCGGAATATGAACTAGGAATGGCTAATATGATGGAACGGTTGAGGATTTGAACAAGAAGACATAGTTTTTATACTTTTTTATTGTTATTGCTTTCACAGTTTTTAATGTATTGTAATATGATTTTTTTTTTGCTTTTAACCGATGTATGTATTTTTATATGGCATCTAATTGTGTCGATTTGTACACCGCCCTGAGTTGCCTTTGGGCTGATATAAGCAGGATAAAAGTGATGTAATTAAAAATAAATAAATAAACCTCTAAGCAGACATGGGCAAACTTCGGCCCTCCAGGTGTTTTGGACTTTTAACTCCCCAAAATCCTAGGAATTGTGCGAGTTGAAGTCCAAAACACCCGGAGGGCCAAAGTTTGCTCGTGCCTTTCTGGGGGAATTTGGGAGTAAAAAAATAGCACTTGTTTTACCCTAGGCTACAAAGACAGACATTAGGGACTGTATGCAGCCCAAGGGGTGTGTTTCTCTTTTCAAAAATTCAAATATTTCATAACAGAAAGATAATTCTTTGTTAATGTGTTCTACAGTCAAGGCCGGTTTACTAAATAAGTTCCATGAAAATTACTGCTAAATAAGGACATAGAGAATTAATATCTCAGAAGATGATGCATACATTTTTAAACAACCAAAATAAAGTTAGAAAAATGATCTGGCGTACCATCTGGAAGGGGATCCACCCAGTGTTTATTGAGTCCCATGGGGATGGAATCCATCTCTGCTTCCCGCTGAGCTTGCTTCAATTCTCGCCTCTCTTTAGCGAGTGCACTTTGCATCATAGCTGCTTGAGACAGGGAGCCATCAGGATTCTGGAATCAACAGAGGAAAACCTGGATGTTCCATTTCTTGCTTCAGAACTGAATTTGCTCCTGTGCAAGAAGCTGTTGTCACCTAAAGCACAACAGGCCTTCCTAAAATCAATCTCATTTTTCAACCTTAGAAAGATGAGAAGAGCTTGGAAAAGTCAGGTCTTTCCTTCAGTTTACAGACAAGCAAGGAAAAGAAGGGTGTGGAAGCTATTTCAGACTTAATTATGGATGAGAGGAGAAGAGAAAGGGATTTAGGGATTGAAATAGGAGGCGGAAGGGAGAAAAAAGAATGGAACATTGAGACAGAAAGATCAGAGCAAAGTCTTGGGCAAGAAGACAGACAAGTCTTAGCAGAGGAGGTGCTGATGATTCTTAAATTTGGTGTGAACACAGAAGCCATAGCAATGATGATTAGTGAAATAGGTGGAAGATGAATAGGAGAATAGGAAGAATTGCTAGTGGACAAATTAGTCAGTTCTTTCATTGCCACTGGAAGATCTTTTCACAATCCTCAATAGCAACAAATCCTAATTCTAAATTAGGATTCTATACAGATTCCTCAATTTTCAACACTAGTAATAGCTTCTGGTGTGAGAGAATTGGCCATCTGCAAGGACGCTGCCCAGGGGACGCCTGGATGATTTGATGTTTTGTCATCCTTGTGAGAGGCTTTTCTCATGTCCCCGCATGAGGAGCTGGAGCTGATAGAGGGAGCTCATCCACCTCTCCCTGGATTCAAACCTGCGACCTGTCGGTCTTCAGTCCTGCTGGCACAGGGGTTTAACCTACTGCGCCACCGGGGGGCTCCACACCCGAAGTGCTCACACCAGAAGCGACTTGCAGTTTCTCAGGTTGCTCTAGACACGACAAAAAAAAATCACTAGTAATGGTTATTCTATTACCTTCACAATCTTGATGGGGCTCATGTCCATGCTCTGCTTCGTATGCCCTCTCAGGAATGGTGGCTCCTCTTCTACTAATTCAATTTCCAGATCTTCATCTAGAAGAGAGAATCAAAACTCCATTCTAGGTTCATTACAATGTCAAACAAAATAGTCTCATCTTTGTTAATAGACTCTCCCCTACTTTTCCAAATAGATGAAGGATTGGCACCTAGCAGCCTGTAAGCACCTCAAAGGAAGTGCCAACTCTCCCCACTCTTCTTCTAAAAGAACTCCCCGTTTTTGGTTATAGAAGATATACAAAGTATGATGAGGAAATACTCCGCCCGCCCCCCTCCACAATACACACAATGGCATTAGAGAATGGCTTAGGGAAGGACCTCTTTTACAACTCCTGACTTCAGTGTGCACAAACTGTCTAGACCAGGGGTCCTCAAACTAAGGCCCGGGGGCCGGATACGGCCCCCCAAGGTTATTTACGCGGCCCTCATTCAGGGTCAACCTAAATCTGAAATGACTTGAAAGCACGCACAACAACAATCCTATCTCATCAGCCAAAAGCAGACCCACACTTCCCATTGAAATACTAATAAGTTTATATTTGTTAAAAATTTTCTTCATTTTAATTATTGTATTGTTTTTAAGAGTTTTTTGCACTACAAATAAGATCTGTGCAGTGTAAATAGGAATTCATTCATGTTTTTATCAAATTTTAATCCAGCCCTCCACCAGTTTGAGGGACTATGACTTGGCCTTCTTTTTAAAAAGTTTTACGATCCTTGGTCTAGACCAGGGGTCCTCAAACTAAGGCCTGGGGGCTGGATACGGCCTTCCAAGGTCATTTACCCGGCCCTCGCTCAGTCAGGGTCAACCTAAGTCTGAAATGACTTGAAAGCACACAACAACAATCCTATCTCATCAGCCAAAAGCAGGCCCACACTTCCCATTGAAATACTAATAAGTTTATATTTGTTAAAATTGTTCTTCATTTTAATTATTGTACTGTTTTTGAGTGGGTTTTTTTTTTTGCACTACAAATAAGATATGTGCAGTGTGCATAGGAATTCATTCACGTTTTTTTCAAATTTTAATCCGACCTTTCACCAGTTTGAGGGACTATGACCTGGCCCTCTTTTTAAAAAGTTTGAGGACCCAGGCCCACATTTCCCATTGAAATACTAATAAGTTTATATTTGTTAAAACTGTTCTTCATTTTAATTATTGCATTAAGTGGTTTTTGCACTACAAATAAGAAAAGTGCAGCGTGCATAGGAATTAATTTTTTTTTCATATTATAGTCCGGCCCACCAACAATTTGAGGGATTGTGACTTGGCCCTCTGCTTAAAAAGTTTGAGGACCCCTGGTCTAGACTATCAAAGAACTCAGCATTATCATTACCTTCCTCGTCATCAACCTTTGGGAGAATTCCTGTTTCTTCATCAAAGTCAGGGAATTCCTCCTTGGAAAGCACATTGGCAGCGATCATCTGGGATAGAGGACAGGAGAGCATTTTCAATCTCAGGACAAAGTAATGCTTATCTTGTTTTGAACACAGCATTCTGCAATAAAAGCTACCATCCTCTTTAAATTTGTACAAGCACAGTAATAAATAGGAACTTCTGAGTCAATCGACAAATGCTGAATTACTAGGGCCTGCAAATATTGCACTCCGTGTCTCCTTTTCATAAGCACAATCATCTATTATTTATTTATTTGCAGTATTTGTATACCGCTTTTCTCACCCCGAGGGGGACTCAAAGCGGTTTACACAAAAGTAATGGCAAAATTCAATGCCAGTACAAACAATTACAATTATAAACTACAATTAGACATAAATCAAGTTAAAAATAGTGCATCCATAAGCAGTAACACAATAAAACAGTCTCGTCTAGCCACTCCCATCAGCTATAATGACTTTTTTTTTAAAAGGGAGATCTGAGAAATTCACTAAGGACAGGTCTGTCACCTTCTATGAATACATACATCAGAATTTCTCATTTCAGAACAAAGCCCCCACTCACTACATGGTAATGGGCATGATTTTAGTGGGGGGTTTTTTGGTTGCTGTTCTGGAAGGGCAGCGAAGGAAGCACTTTAATTCCAAATTTCAGGCTCATGACAGAAAGGGGTCTTTATTGCCACTCATGGAATATTAAGACAAGAGAAAATAATTTCTACAGATCATGTTTAGCTTCTTAGTATTAAACACACTCTCATGTACAACACATTGCAGCAGTCTAGTCTGGCTGTTAACATGGAAAATAGAGGTCAGCCTCAGCGTGAGTTGGTAAAAGAAGCTTCAAGACATAGATACCACTGAAGCATGAAAGGTAAAGTGGCCTTCTTGGTGGTGGCCCCTCGGCTGTGGAACGCCCTCCCTATAGATATTAGATCGGCCACCTCCCTTTTAACATTCCGGAAAAAAGTCAAGACATGGCTTTTTGAACAAGCGTTTGCAAATGCAGAGTAACTGACATAGGAAAATGGAACAACTAGACAATGAGTCCAGGCAATGTTTTAAACAAGGAGACACTATGAATTTATATATTATTGATTTGTTTAGTTTTTATTATATGTCATGTTTTTAATTATATTTAAGACATTGTAAGCATTAAATTTTGCCCTGTTAACTGCCTTGAGTCGCCTGCAGGCTGAGAAAAACAATATACAAATACAGTAAATAAATACATATTTAGCATCTCCACCAAATCCCCTTAAATAAAATGAGCAGTTTGACATGTCAGAGCAGATGTCGTTGAAATCTGCAGATAATTGGACTGATGGCCTCAAAGGTTACAGAAGAAAGCTCAACTGAAGTTTTAGAAAGTACAGATTGCAGCTGCTAATGCAATCTGTGGCTAGCCCAAAAGTATACGAGTAATTTCACAAGCTCTAAATCTCCCATTTGGTTTGAAGAATATTACGAGTGATCTGTTCCTGAAGCAGAAATTGTTACCTGCTTGATCTCCCATTTCTCTGGGTCTGAAATGCGAGTGAGACGTTTTCGCTCCAGTGTGTCATCTTCCACTTCCGGAGCACTGACCAAAGACAGGTGAGTGGGCCGATCTGGATTTCGCATGGCTGTCTCCTCTGACTCTCCCACAAGGTTCCGGCGTCTGTTTGGGTTCAAATCTTCACCTGTGTCTTGATCTACGTCCTAATGCAATCAGAAATCACACATATCCCACAAGGTGTAATAAAACAACACTTTTATTTTGAAAAACATTTTAAATTCGACGAGCATTGTAATTGGTGTGCAGTATAATAATAGTTGGTTAGATTGAAAACCCCTACAATGCCCCTATTAAAACAGCTTCATTGGCTGCCGATAAGTTGCCAAGCCAAATTCAAGGTGCAGGTTATAAAGTCCTAAACGGTTTGGGCCCCGCCTATTATACGGCTCCTGTCCAGCGTACCTGTCCAAACGTATCTCCTTCTATGTCCCACTTTGGAGCTTAAGATCCTCTGGGGAGGCCCTGCTCTCGGCCCCGCCATTGTCTCAAACACGTTTGGCGGGGACGAGGGACAGGGCCTTCTCAGTGGTAGCCCCCCGCCTGTGGAATACGCTTCCCGGGGAAATTAGATCATCGTCATCCCTCCTCACCTTCAGAAAGAAGGTAAAATCGTGGTTGTGGGACCAGGCCTTCGGGCAATCAGGTTAAAGGACATTGGATAATATTTGACTATGGCTTGGAAGTAGATTTGTGTCAGGTTTTACAATATATTGTTATGTAATATAGCTGAGTCATGCACTGCTAATAGGCTTCTATTGGAAATGCTGAGTCATGCATTAACTGTATATAGAACTTCATTTGGGGAATGTGTTCTGGCCTGGTCCAAATGAGTGTTAATAATGCAATCCTGGGTTTGAGTTAAGTCAATGAGTTGGGAACCAATCAGAGATTGCTATGTGTAAATGTACATAATTGTATATAAGGAAGTCGTGTGCAGTGTATTCTCTCTCCTTGTGCTGTGATGCTGTTTGCCGAAGGCTCTGTGTAATTTATTAAAGGAACCGATCTACTAAGACAAGATATAACTAGTGTCATCTAGATTGGAGGGGAAAACAATGGCCGGGCATGTACTCAAGTGCCTGTGGAGAGTTCCAGAGTGACTGCAGTTTGTGGGAGCAGTTGATTGAAAATACTGTGCAGGAAGAAGCTACTGGAAAGTGCTGAAGTTGTGCAACTGATCTGCTGCTGAATTGTGAGATAAAGCACGATAATTTGCATAAGTGAAGCAGAGTTATCATTAGTATATAGCTAGATAAATAGCCACCAGACTGGCAATAGCTAAATGGATCGTAAGTATACTGTTTAATTTTTATTTTAATGTTCATGGTTTTAATTGTTATTTTTGTTGTTGTATTTTATGATGGCATTGAATTGTTGCCAATTGTAAGCTGTCCTGAGTCCCCCTAGGGGTTGAGAAGGGCGGGGTAAAAATGTTCGAAATAAATAAATAAATATCTCCGCGATCGCATCTCCTTCTATGAACTGGCGTGAACTCTAAGATCTTCCGGGGAGGCCCTTCTCTCGTTCCCACCACTGTCACAAGTACGGTTGGTGGGGATGAGAGAGAGACTTCTCTGGAACGGCCTTCCAAGGGAAATAAGACAGGCCCCATCCCTCCCCTCCTTTTGTAAGAGCTTGAAGACCTGGTAATTTCAACAAGCCTTTGAGAATGACCAGTTCTAGTCCAGCCCAAACACTGTTGAATATGGCCTTGCACTTCTTACCTATTACCCCGGTCATCCCTCTAATAGGCCCTGGAAATTAGCAGCCACAGACCCGTACCTGCTATTGCCGTTAGCCTGTTATAGCACTATACTTTATTCCCGGTTCCCTCATATTTTGAGTTTGCACTAATCTTGGCCCAGCTTTTTAATTGCTCTGAATGGGCAGGATTATTTTTAATATACATGTGTTATTGTGATAATTTTATGCTTATGTTGTTTTGTTAATTTTATGTTATGCTGTTTTACTTTGTATGTTTCGGTGATGGTACTTGGAAACCACCCTGAGTCCCCCTCGGGGAGATAAGAGCGCTATATAAATAAAGATTAATTAAAAGAGCATTCCTGTGCTTCGTATTGACCACACCAGTTTCTGTTTGAACCTCCCAATAAGAAAACAGCAGGCTTCTTTCTGTTGGTTGATATCTTAAGTGTCAGTATTAGGCACCCTTGGAATAAGAATGATCTTTGCAACAGACTCCTGACCTCTACCACTCATTTCCTCTTCATTAAAATTGTTAGTGAAAGTTAGAGAGAAAGGCAGATGAAATAACTTGTGTACTGCCCAAGATATTCATTGCAAGTCAGGTTTATATAGTTCAAATTAGGGCCAGAAACAGCATACTAACACTATAGTACCAAGAAATGGGAGCAAGAGGTAAATGACAGAATTTCATTTTTTGTTGTTGTTTTTGTTTTAAAGATCTCGTAAGAGCTTGAAGACCTGGTGGTTTCAACAAGCCTTTGAGAATGACTAGTTCTAGCTCAGCCCTAGACATTATTGAATATGGCCTTATTCTTCCTACCAATTACCCAGGTCACTTCCTCTAACAGGCCCTGGAAAAGAACAGCCATAGACCTGTACCTATTATTGTTCTTGCCTGCTATACCACTGCTTTTAATTCTCGGGCCCCCTAGAATTTTTGGGCTTTCACTAATCTTGGCCCGGCCTTTTAAATTGCCTTAAACAGGCAGAATTACTTTTAATATATATGTGTTATGGCAACAATTTTTATGCTTATATTGTTTTGTTAATCTCATGTTTATGTTGTTTACTCTGTATGTATTGATGATGTTACTTGGAAACCGCTCTGAGTCCCCTCAGGGAGATAGAGCAGTATATAAATAAAGTTTTATTTTTTTATCATAAACTAGCCATTTCCTGCCACGCATTGCTGTGGCCCAGTCTGGTGATCTGGAAAATAAAGTAATGAGAAAGTGTTGGTTTCTAATATATGTAATTTCTTTCTGCTTGTGGGTAAGCAGTATTTCTTGTTGTTTCTTTGTCAGTGTTGGAGAATGTCTGGTTTGCCTACTCTGGAATATGCAACATATCATTGTCCTTCTTTCGGGATCCCTTTCAAATCTATGATACTATATCTCTCTGTGTGTGAATCATGTATATCTATATCTATGGCTAGATGGCTCTTTGTCAGGAAGGCTTTTAATATGTTTTCTTGCCCTGGTGAAGGGAGTTGGACTGGATGGCCTTAAGTATTTTCTGTTGGTCATGGGAGTTCTGTGTGGGAAGTTTGGCCCAATTCTCTTATTTGTGCGGTTCAGAATGCACTTTGATTGTAAGTGAACTATAAATCCCAGTAACTACAAATCCAAAATGTCAAGGTCTATTTCCCCCAAACTCCATCTGTGTTCATATTTGGGCATTTTGAGTATCAGTGCCAAGTTTGGTCCAGATCCATCATTGTTTGAGTCCACAGTGCTCTCTGGATGTACGTGAACTACAACTCCCAAACTCAAGGTCAATGCCCATAAAAACCTTTCTAGTGTTTTCTGTTGGTCATTGGAGTTCTGTATGCCATGTTCGGTTCAATGCCATAATTGGGGGAGTTCAGAATGCTCTTTGATTGTAGGTGAACTATAAATCCCAGGAACTCCCATTCCCAAATGACAAAATCATAATTTTTGAGTGATGGTCACTCCTTGTGTTGTGAGACATTTTGTTGCCAAATTTGGTGTGATTTTGTCCATTGGTTCTTTTGTTTTTAAGGTACTCATTATGCACAGAGCATAAATTTATATATATATAGATTGACAACATTGCATTAATTTTGAACAGCTAAATTATTGAAGGTGCCAGAAGCAAACGGGCAACTACTGAAAAAAATTGTTTGGCATTGAGTGTAGTATAATGTATTGACCATACCCCTCAGCGCCTGGATCAAACCAAAACCAGAATCCTTATTATAAAGCCAAAGAAAGGAATAGTGATTAATTGTGACTGTAATAGAGACATGAAGCAGCACGGGATCAAGGGAAGCCTAAGCTGGCTTAGTTAAAGAGGAAGAGCTTGAAGGGTGTCTCAGGAATAGCATGGCAAACGAGGCCAATGGGGTAATACGAGGAGTGAAGCAGAAACAGAAGGGATATAGGTTAACGTGGAATGGAAGAGATTCTCTTACCTTCATACTGAGGCTGGTTTTAGAGCCTGTGAAGGACAACACTTTGACCTTGACCCTCTGGCCTTTGCTCACCACATCAGCCACATTAGCAACACGTCCCTCACGGCGTAGCTCTGAAATATGGACTAATCCTTCCCAGCGCTTCCTAAAGGGAAACATAAGAGATCCAAATGGAAAAATAGTCAGCAAATGCTTGCTGGGCATCAAGCTGGAACTGCCTAATGTTTTAAATTACATCTCTACCCATTGTAAAAGATCCACCCATGAAGGGATATAACCTATAAAGCCCTAGAAGTAAGGGAAGGACTTTTTGTTTTGGAAGGCCTTTGGGGGTGGATTGCTCATAGGAAAGGGCCTTTAATAATGTGTTGTATTCAGATTTGTTGTTTTCCTTGGATATTTTTATGTTAATCCGAATTCATTTGTATTCTGACAAGACCTTATATGAAAACACAATTTGACATACCGTATATACTTGAGTATAAGCCGACCCGAATATAAGTCGAGGCACCTAATTTTACTACAAAAAACTGAGAAAATGGATTGACTCTGGTATAAGCCGAAGGTAGGAAATGCAGCCGCTACAGGTAAATTCCAAAATAAAAATAGATACCAATGAAATTACATTAATTGAGGAATCAGTAGGTTATATATTTTTGAATATTTACAAAAATGGTAATTTAAGCTAAGACTGTCCAACTCTGATTAAATGATTATTTTCTTTCTTTAATGTAAATGTGCTTACGTATCGTTCCAATAATAATAAAGAGAGTAACATAATAAATGTAATAACAACAATAATAAAAAGAGTAAAATAATGAATGTAGCAATAACAATTATACAGTAAAAGAATAAATAGAGTAAAATGACAAATGTAATAATAATAAATAGAATAAAATAATAAATGAAAATAAGCAGAGGGGGACTTTTTCAGCCTAAAAAAGGGGATGAAAAACTAGGCTTATACTCGAGTATATACAGTAAATTGATGGTGGAGAAATTAATAAATTTCTGGAAAACATCCATTAATAAAAGAATACTGAATCTGTTAAACTCTCAGCAAATTTAAAAAAAATGGAAAAAAGTGGCGATACGATAGCTGGGGAGCTTGATATGCACTTGAATGCACTGCTGAAATTAAGAGGCTGAGGATTAATGGTGAAATATTTTGGGGATAGGCTAGACTGCAAAGAAGCATATGCTTATTTCTTTTTTAAACTAAAGTGCTCTCAAGTGGAGAGCACCTAAAATGGTTTATTTTCACTAAAATATGTGCTCTTCTAACCCCTCAAAAATAAGTATGGTGTAAGTAAAACAAAGTTAACTTTTCAGGATGAAGGAAGTTAACCAATCTTCTGAAAAAGATTTCTGTATAATCAAGAAAGTTATTCATAACAGCTGTTAAAATTAGGAAAAAAATTGAATTATCCTACTTTATATGGTACAATAAGACAATGCTCAGTACAATTAAATGTCTTCCTTGCTCCTTTGATCTATGCCAGTGGTCCTCAAACTTTTTAAACAGAGGGTCAGGTCACAGTCCCTCAAACTGTTGGAGGGCTGGATTATAATTTGAAAAAAAATATGAACGAATTGCTATGCACACTGCACATATCTTATTTGTAGTGCAAAAACACTTTAAAACAATACAATAATATAAAAGAAGAACAATTTAAACAAATATAAACTTATTAGTATTTCAATGGGAAGTGTGGGCCTGCTTTTGACTGATGAGATAGGATTGTTGTTGTGTGTGCTTTCAAGTCGTTTCAGACTTAGGTTGACCCTGAGCGAGGGCCGGGTAAATGACCTTGGAAGGCCGTATCCAGCCCCCAGGCCTTAGTTTGAGGACCCCTGGTCTAGACCAAGGATCGTAAAACTTTTTAAAAAGAAGGCCAAGTCATAGTCCCTCAAACTGGTGGAGGGCTGGATTAAAATTTGATAAAAACATGAATGAATTCCTATTTACACTGCACAGATTGTTGTTGCTATTCTGTGCTTTCACGTTGTTTCAGACTTAGGTTAACCCTGAGCAAGGGCCGGGTAAATAATAATAATAATATAATAATAATAAAAAAATATTTATACCCCGCCACCATCTCCCCAAGGGGACTCGGGGCGGCTTACATCAGGCCAAGCCCAACAACACATCATTAAAAACAAAACAACAAGCAAATAAACAGTACAATTAATATAACTTACATATAAACAATAACACAGAGAATTTAAAACCTTATGGCCGGGCCAGATGTAATAAATTAAAAAATAAATAAACACTGGGTGTGAACAGAGGTAGGATGTATCTAAGCAGGAGGGTTTTAAAAGATAATGTAGGGAGACAAACCCAACGGGTAGTAAAGTGCTTCTGAGGACAACTACAGAGAATTATCAGAGCAGGGCATTGTTTCCTTATTCAGGGAAGGCACACTGGAACAGCCACGTTTTCAGGCTCCTCCTAAAGACTGCCAATGTGAGGGTTTGTCTGATATCCTTAGGGAGTGAGTTCCAGAGTCGTGGAGCCACCACAGAGAAGGTCCTCTCCCTCGTCCCCAGCAATCACGCCTGTGAACGGGGCGGGAGCGAGAGCAGGACCTCTCCAGATGATCGAGGAGATCGCATGGGTGCGTACACAGAAATGCGGTCACGCAGATAAGTGGGTCCCAAACTGTTCAGGGCTTTGTAGGTAAGAACCTGCACCTTGAATTGGGACCGGAAAATGAACGGCAGCCAATGGAGCTCCTTAAACAGGGGGCCAGACCGCTCCCTGTAAGTCGCTCCAGTTAATAATCTGACTGCCGCCCGTTGTACCAATTGAAATTTTCGAGCCATCTTCAAGGGCAGCCCCACATAGAGTGCATTACAGTAATCCAATCTGGAGGTGGCTAAAGCATATCCGGCTCCTGGCTCTTAGTTTGAGGACCCCTGATCTATGCAATTTCAGAGCAGCAGCAGATAGAAATGAAAGGTAACAGCTACTTTTATATCAGCTACCTGAGTCCTTCAAGCTGGACAAAGCAGCCAAACTGCATGATGCTGGTGACTTTGCCGTTGTAGATGTCCCCAATGGAAGGTTCTTCTGGTGGGGGCCGGTCCACATGCTTATCCCTCCATCGCTCATTGACTTTCTCTGCAGGCTTTTCTCGCTCCTTGCGATCCCAACTGGGGCTTCTGCTTCTGGAGCGGTATCTAGATTTACCCTTATGTCGATCTCTTGTACGGGAGCGAGAGGAGGACTTCCGCTTCCGCTTCCGATCCCGATCTCTACTACGACTGCGACTCCTGTGTTTTTTCTTGGATCTAACAACAAAAAGTATTAAGGTCACACTCATGTCCCCTCTGCTTCGGAGGACATGTTAATACACTACAATTAATTAGCGTGACTATGGCTCTTTGGATGAATTACATCTCATACACAGGTTACAGATTAAAAAGTCAATGTTATCATTTATTTGCTTAAATATTGCCCTATGTAACAGATCATGCTTAAGTCAAGGATGGGAAATGTGCTCAGACCCCCCCTCCCCCCCGGGCAAAAAAACCTGTGGAATTGCCCTGTGGGCATTTTTGTCCAAAGGAAAGAAAAGATAAGCAAATCAGGGCAATACATCAGGTTGGAAGGACATGTTGGTGGATAGCTCTGCAAAGTCCCATGTAAGGCCAATGTGGCTCCTCAAATGTGGCAGTTGCCCACCCCAGTTTGTAGAATGGAATTGTAAGCAAAGTCCATATGGTGGTAGGGGATAATTTCTCAAGAATTTCTCTGCAGTATTAGATCTACCCGTATATTCCGGCATATAAGACGACTGGGCGTATAAGACGACCCCCAGCTTTTCCAGTTAAAATATAGAGTTAAGACGACTCCCATGCATAAGACTACACCCGCATATAAGACGACCCCTAACTTTTGAGAAGATTTTCTTGGGTTAAAAAGTAGTCTTATACGCCAGAATATACTGTAGGTATATTTGAACAAAATGGATTTTCTGCACCATTGCAATCTAGCTTCCAGACAGGTTCATGCATCAATGCAACTTAATCAAACTACAGGAAAGATAGATTCCGTATGTAAGTTGGAACAGGTACATTTTAAAGTGTAACCTCCTCAATTTTTAAAAATTTGGATAGTATTGGGGAGGGATAACACAATTGCAAAGTCTATGCCCCTGTTCAGAAGATTTCACCTCACTTTCTGTTCCTGTGATAATTGGATTTTGAAAATTTTGTGTTGTTATGGAAACAAGGATTGGTGAGAAAGCTTCAGTGGAGACACCTTTTTCCCATGATAACTCCTTCAGGAGTGAATTTCCCCTCCGAGAGATAGATTTCTCTCTCTTCCTGTTGTCTCACTCCCATTTGTAACTAGAAATCGTATGTAAGTCAGATGTTTGTTACTTGGGGACTGTCTGTAATAATTCCATTCTAGAATGACATGGGAAATGTACCCTGCTAATCCTCAATACCTCTAAGTATGTTGTCCGTATGTGTGTGTGTGTGTATCAGATTGTATTTTGGGGGGAAATTTTCTGAAGATGACATAAGGGGTATACACACTGTGTTCACTGATATTCCTGTTCTACAATTCCACAGGGCAATGTCATCTTCCACCACCCTCATATTATGTTGCTGAAGCCATCTGCTATCTGAATCTAGGAATCATGGACTGAGCCAAGGAAACAGAGCACTGGAAGAAAGCATTTGGGGGGGGGGGGGTGTTTGTTTTTCATGTCAGGAGCAACTTGAGAAACTGCAAGTCGCTTCTGGTACGAGAGAATTAGCCGTCTGCAAAGACGTTGTCCAGGGGACGCCTGAATGCTTTGATGTTTTACCATCCTTGTGAGAGGCTTCTCTCATGTTCCCACATGGAGAGCTGGAGCTGACAGAGGGAGCTCATCCATGCTCTCCCCAGATTCGAACCTCCGAACCTCAGTCCTGCCGGCACAAGGGTTGAACCCAATGCACTACTGGGGGCTCCTAGTTGGGTTGAAACTAAAGGACAAAGCCAAAAGTCACTGCAGCAGAACAAACCTTGTGTGTTCTTTGAACAATCCAGAACTTGAAAGACCTTTTCATGAGATTCCAACCTAAACATAAGGTCTAATAAGGAAGATAGTATTACCACCCCTCTCCACAGCTCCAAGTCTCAGGCGGGTCTTTTTAGAAGTCAATTCATCACCTCCCTGCTCTGGTTAGCACATCATACATAACTAGAAATATTGATGCACTTTTCCCAAAACTGTGTCCCTGATTTCTCAACTCCAATCCAATATCTATTCACAATGAAAATATTGGTTCCATTGCCAGCACAATTCTCCAACCTGTCCTAGTATTTTATTTCCTACACCATCCCATTAATGCAGAGAAGTAAGTCATAGCAGAGCACTTGATGAACCAACCTGGACACAGAATATTATTTGAGAACATAGAAATGCTAGACCACTCTAACAACCACTATGTCAGACTACACAGAGAAGCCACTGAAATCCACAAGCATGTGGACAATTTCAACAGAAAGGCAACCATGAAAAAGAACAAAATCTGGATACCAGTATTAAAAAAACTCTAGAATCAGAACAGTAAAAAAAGAGCAACACTAAAAAATAAGGTTGAACATTGTGAAAGCCACCCACTACATGGCTACCAGCCTCCTCCCAGTAGATTCAAATCAAGGAAAAGCTTATGAGAACTACCACTCTTCTTGGTAGAACTACCACAGCAAGGGTATCCCTCTCAGCAGCTAGACCAGGAAATCCCAACTGGATGGCCCCCCATGAGGGTCTTCCTCCAAGGGTAAACCAAGAATGGGCAACTTGGAAGTCCCTGAACAGACTCAGAAGTGGAGTGGGTAGAACAAAAGACAACCTGGCAAAATGGCACTACCTAAAAGAATGCCACATCTTATGTGACTGTGGAGCAGAACAGACAACTCCGCATCTGTATGCTTGTCCACTATGCCCTGCCTCATGTACAGAGGAAGAATTGTTGGAGGCTATAGACAATGCCGTTGCTGTTGCCCGTTTTTGGTCAAAAGATATTGAACCACCTGCGCTCCTTCTACTTTTATCATTTTTATATTAATTTATTTTATTTATTTATTTCGGTTGCTTCTACCCCGCCCTTCTCACTCCGAAGGGGACTCAGGGCGGCTTACAAAAGCAAGGCACAATTTGATGCCCACATCACATAACAACAATAAGACAAAATAACATCAATTAACAGAAAACAGCAATTCTAGCAATAACATCAATTAACAGAACAACAATTCTTGCAAGGCGAAAACAACCATAAAACCAGTAAAAGCAATAAAACCAATACAAACCATTTCTGCAAAGCTTTTGATACGAAATAAATAAATAAACAAACTCAAAAATAGGGGAATTCCAGACAAGAAACAATCAGGGCCAGCTAATCACCCCCAACAAAGGATTTCTCCCTGGCAAGAAGCAGCTAGGCCTTGAAGCTGCAAGGCTATTTAATGCAAATCAAGGTGATCAATTACAGCATTCACACTTGCCTCAAAAAGACAAGAGTTCTTTCTCCCACCCTAGACATTACAAAGATATATAAACCCCCCTTGCCTCGTTTCCTTACCAACCTCACAACCTCAGAGGATGCCTGCTGGATATGTGGGCAAAATGTCAGGAGAGAATGCTTCTGGAACATGGACATACAACGCAGAAAACTCACAGCAACCCAATGCAAGGCTTCATTCATACCACAGCAACCCCCAAGTAAGACAAACTTTATCTTCCCAAAGAAATCCACCCTGTTTGCTCCTGCCAATCTTCTTTCCCAATACCAGTTCAATTTGGGCATTTTCATGGGTTAGAAGTCAGTGTTCACATAAGATCATTGAAATTGAAGACCTGGTGGTTTCAACAAGCCTTTGAAAATGACCAGTTTTAACTCAGCCCTACACATTGTCGAATACGGCCTTATTCTTCCTACCAATTACCCAGATCATTTCCTCTAATTGGCCCCAGAATGAACAGCCACAGACCTGTACCTAATACTATTGTTGCCTGCCACAGCATTGCACTTAATTCTCGGGCTCCCTAGAATTTTTGGGCTTGCACAAATCTTGGCCTGGCCTTTTAACAAATTTTAAATTGCCTTCAACAGGCAGGATTACTTTTAATATATGTGTGTTATGGCAACAATTTTTATGTTTATATTTTGTTTTGTTAATGTTATGGTTATGTATTATTATTATTATTATTATTATTATTATCATTCCCGTCACAAAATTAACATATTCCAACTACTAGTTCCTATCGGTCACAAACTGATTCACCTTCCCTTTCTTTCTTTCTTTCTTTCTTTCTTTCTTTCTTTCTTTCTTTCTTTCTTTCTTTCTTTCTTTCTTTCTTTCTTTCTTGCCAGGGTGGGAAAGGGAAGGAGGGTGAATTTTCTCTTTTGCAGAAACCAGTTCGAGCAAACAAGTGGTGTTTGGAAAATGGATTAAAGGAGAATTCTGAGGAATCAACAGAGAAAACAAGAACTGAAGGAAGATGAAGGGGGAAAGCTTTCTTTTTAATTCCACTTTGCTCAGTTAGTCTATCTCACAAGACTGCACAGCATGGCAGATTTAGCAACTGCAGGAGAAGTTGGACTATCAACCAAATGCAACTCCTAACAGAGTAAAATGCTGACAACTCTTTATGAAAACAAGACAGAACATCCTTATATTGCGTCTTATCTTGGCAGTACGCTGCACTCTAATCTCGGACTCCCCACTAAGCATATCCACAAAGTCCTGACACACCTTTGTTCCTTGAAGCAAAACAGCTGATCAAGACCTATACATTTTGAACACACACTGATTTTTGTTTACTGAGAAAATGTGGCCTAAATAACTTACCGTTCCTCACTGCCCCGGTGCTTCTCTTGCTTGCCTGCTGTTGGCATCAAGGCTTCCAGTTCTTTCAGGGCATCAGCAGCCACTTTCACATCATCTTCATCCAGCATTGTCTTTAAGGGAGAGAAGAGAAGGTCTATGAATACACAACAGGCCTACCGTTTCAACATCTCTTTCAAATCCATTGGCAGAAGTTGAACTAATACAGAATTGCTCCTGGATCTGAAGATTCATTTGCCGGGGGGAAAAAACAGTAGCAAGGGAAAAGGTAGCAATAAAATGTTTCCACAGAGCAGATTTTACACTTTAGAATGCACAGGTTTATAGATAAAATGAATTAACACTATGCAAATACAGATGTTCGTAATGGGCAATTAAAATTAATGCAATGGTAATCAAATCTAAAATTATAGTTGGAATTAACTTCATTAGGTGGAACACCCATAGGACATACATATTTATGCACACTGATAATTAGTATTTAATATATATCCTGCATTTAGGTATGTTAAAAGTAATGTGCATAGAGCAAAGAGAGGGAATTGTGGCACAGCTGGCTGAGTGTCAGCTGCATTAAAATCACTCTGACCAAAAGATCATGAGTTCGAAGCCAGCCTGGGTTGGAGTGGGTTTCCAACCAATTGTGTGTAGCCTGTTGTCGACCTTTGCAACCCGAAAGACAGTTGCATCTGTCAAGTAGGAAAATAAGGTACTACCTTAAAGTGTGGGGAGGCTAAATTAACTGATTTATGAGGCCATAAAGAAGACTCCAGCAAAGCATTCCAGCGGGGAAGCATGCGGGGAATGCGGAAGTGCTTCATCAGTGTCACAGATGGATGATGATGAAAGCGACAGCTCCCCTGGCGGCCAGAAAAAGTTAAATAGCCTCTGTGTATGTCTGTATATGTTTGTATGTCAAAAATTGGCATAGAATGTTTGCCATATATGTGTACACTGTAATCCGCGCTGAGTCCCCTGTGGGGTGAGAAGGGCGGAATATAAAAGTTGTAAATAAATAAATAAATAATTTGAGGTGTAAATGCAACGCACTGAGATACATATTTTTATTCATTTACTAGCCATCCCCTGCCATGTCTTGCTGTGGCCAAGTCTGTGTATATGTGTCTCAGATATGTGTATTTGTATATATGTGATTTTGTGCATGCATTATAATGTATTTTTTGTTTTTTTAGCTTTTTAGTCCCTTCTGATGTGTTTTTCAGTGTTTTAATGAGTGATGGTCACTTGTTGGCCTGACAGGTGTATTGTGTCCAAATTTGGTGTGAATTCGTCCAGTGGTTTTTGAGTTATGTTAATCCCACAAACAAACATTACGTTTTTATTTATATAGATTTAATACAAAATGCTTCCCACTTACTTTTTAGAAGACATAAAGCAGGCAATTTAGCCATGCTGTGTGCTACAAGACATCATAAGTGTCTTTTTTTTAAAGAGGGAAGCCAATCGAAGCTCAATTTCTATACTATTTTCTGGTTTTAAAAATATCTGTCAAGATTATTAGGGGCATTTTTAACACGCTTACATTTTTATGAAAAATGTGGGTGCTGGGAAATCAGCTAATTGGCCTCAAGTCACCTCTAAAGTAGAATTTTCAATATTGTCACCTTTAAAATGTAACAATATAGATTTATATGCTATACATTTGGCATCTTAAAGTACAGTATGACCACTCTATGTGCAAGAGCAGTTCTACAATGTTACCTACTTACATCTGACAAAATATGTCTTCTTTAGGAATTTTCAAGGTTATTCTATGGCATACTTTCTTTGAATGTTATCGCAGTTGCTCTAGAGTATTTCATAAAATCGTAGAGTTGGAAGAGACTAGAAGGATCATCATGTCCAACCCTTTGCCATGCGGGAACACACCATCAAAGCACTCCCAACAGACGGCCATTCAGCCACAGATGACCATTTAGCACATTCTAAGAGAGGATACCTCTATAAATATGATCTACCCAACTCAATGGTGGCTTCCAGTGGAAGTTGTTCATTTCAGTGCTATTATCCAGAGTTACCTGTTTCTACAGTTTTCTGTTTCTACAGTAAGTTCAGGAATGTATATCCCATGGATACAGGGATCGTACTTACATTCTAGTCAATATTTTTTCAGTAAAACTGAAACTATCATTTCATTTTAATGTACTTAGGTCTATTAGAAAAAATATTCAGATATTTATATAGCTTATAAAACTAACATAACAATTTTGTTTTGTTTCTTAAGTGTAAAACAAATAAAATATGCAAACTCAGATCTCCATCCATTTTGGACTGCAGAAATGTCTAAATGATCCCCCCGCTGGAAAGTGTATATAATTATTTGGGATTGATAAGATTTTATTGCTCACTCAGTTTCAATTCCACTTCCAAGCCTGAGTTATCTAGTTTCTGTTTTGAAAAAGCCTTCTCTTTCCTTTATTTGCTCCTCTCACACACAAGCTGCACTGCAGCCTTGCTCTCCACTTGCATTCTTACTTCTGCCTGCCCAACTCCAGCTGCTCTCCCTTTCTCTGGTGGGTACTATCCTTGCCTTCTATTTTGATAGCTCCTAAACAAAAGAAAAAAGGCACACACCTACCCTGACAATGGGATTGTCTGGTCTACATAGGGCTGGAAACAGATCTCTTAACTTGTCTTTTTCTGTTTTTGGTTTAACGGCATCTAGGACAATAAAAAAAAAAACAGATCAGTTAAAACATGTTTTCATTATTTACTCTAAATATCTCTAATAACATCTGAGTCTCAGTCTACTTTGCTTTAGTTTTAGTTTACATGATACATTCTATAATTTAATTTCTAGACTATATATATGCTCCCTATAGTTTGCTGCAGTAAAGAGTCTGGCTGCCACCCGTTGTACCAGTTGCAGCTTCTGGGCTGTCTTCAAGGGCAGCCCCACATAGAGCACATTGCAATAGTCCAATCTGGATGTAACCAAGGCGTGGACCATGCTAGCCAAGTCAGACTTCACGAGATATGGTCGCAGCTGGCGCACAAGTTTAAGTTGTGCAAAGGCCAAGATAATTTTTGACAGTCATGTCCTGGGGAATTTCAGGAATGTATCCACTGAAGCACAGCTGCTAATGGAGTACAATCTTGGCTGCAAGCCTAAAACAACAGTGGGACCATTTTGCAGGCCTAGAGTGCATGACGTTCGAAGGAGAATAGAAATGCAGCACTCCAAAATATGGCTTCTGTGCAAAGGAGATTTACTTTGCCCCATCATTCTATATTCTATCTACTTTGAATCAAGTATTTTTTCTGGTTTTTTCCATCCACAACTGTTCTATAGTTTTACATTTCTAATGAGTAGAAAGCCAACTTCTGAATTCTAATTCAAAACTTAGCAGTTGGATCATTGGGTGCATCTACACTGTAGAATTAATGCAGTTTGAACCCACCTTTAACTATCATGGTTCATTAGACTGTACGGAATTATTAGACTGTAATTTGGTGAGGAACCAGCACAATTTTGCAGAGAAGGCTAAAGACCTTGTAAAACTATAACACAGCAATGTGAGATGGCAGTTAGTATGATGTCAAACTGCACTGATTCTTAAATGCAAATGCACTCATCATCCTCAGCAGAGGCTGCCCTAGGTAATTTTCAACGGTAAGCAAACAGTATTTTGCCCCTCCCCCACCCCAACCAATCACTGATATATATTTTCTGTTCATCGTGGGAGTTCTGTGTGCCATATTTGGTTCAATTCCATCATTGGTGGAGTTCAGAATGCTCTTTGATTGTAGGTGAGCTATACATCCCAGTAACTACAACTCGCATATTTCAAGGTCTATTTTCCCCCAAGAGCACCTCAAAAGCGCCCCTAGGCAAAATCAACTCTACTGCGAATGCTTACTTTGCGTAATGGTTGAGCCGCCCCTGATCCTCAGCCATATTAAACAATTATCTTCACATACTTGAGATGTTTTATTGATCACTAAGACAGAAAAACATACCTTTGCTAGTAGAAGGTTTTGCAGGAGGTCGCATTGTCTGGATAAGACGCAGAAGGTTGCTGATGAGAGAATCCTGCAAAATAGCAATTTGTTAAAGAAATAAAATTTCAAGAACAACCAATTATTTTAGCAATGTTGTTATTAACTGAATTATTAGCTCTAACTTTTACTTACTGTAAACTCAGCGCCATTTTTCACCAAGGCTGTCTTGAATGAATCAAAGGTTGTGGTTTTCTCTGCAAGGTTTATGACAAATTCAGCTGCAAACAGAAAGAACAAATGGAAGGATACAAATAAAAAAGGTAAAGAATTAGTGTAAACTAGCTCAGGCATCCATTTTACATAGTTCTATCTTGGTACAGGAAAGATCTTAAATAAACTCATTTGGAAGAAGTCAAAAGTCGCCTGCTGAAATATATTCCCAAACTAGTGCATTTATTTGTTTGACATTTGCCTTTTTGGAAGGTTATATCCCATCTTTCTCTCAGTACTGAGACCCAAAGTAATTCTCAATATGAGTGAAATACAGATAATCTAAAATACAATGTTGTAATGTCAAAATACAATCAAACAAGTTATGAAATTAAAAAGTACACTAACAAAAGAAAACAAGCACAGTAACCTTATAAGGAGCATTCCTAAATAGCCAAAGTAAGCAAAGATTTAAAAGATTCAAGCAGGCTACTACTCATTACTCTTGTGTGCTTGCTGTCCCTGTCAAAGCCATTGAAATCTACAAGAATGTGGACAATTTCAACAGAAAGGAGGAAATGAACAAAATCTGGCTACCAGTATTAAAAAAACTCTAAAATTACAACAGCAAAACAACAGAGGGGAAACAATCAGGCACATCTAATCACCTCTCAACAAAAGATTGTCCCAGGCACTGCCAGGCCATCAAATGCTAATCAAGGTGGACAGTTGAAACATTCACACTTAGCTCTAACAGACAACAGTTCTTTGCCCCACCCTGGTCATTCCACAGATATATAAACCAATTTTCCTAGTTCCAATAGACCTCACTACCTCTGAGGATGCTTGCCATAGATGCAGGTGAAACATCAGGAGAAAATGCCTCTAGAACATGGCCATATAGCCTGAAAAAACCTACAACAACCCAGTGATTCCGGCCATGAAAGCCTTCAACAATACATTGAAAATCATCCTGTTTAGCAAGCATTGCAAATGTTGATTTGTTATCATTCAATGTTTGATATTATAACGATTATATATACCTATCTATCTGGGGTCATGTAAAATTTCTTGGGCAGAAAGAGGTCAGCAATGGAAAAAGTTCAAGAAACCCTGATCTAGAACACAGGGTGGTTTAAGGAGGCAAGAATACAACAAAGAAGATCTAGCTTTGGATAATTATTCAACCCACATACCTAAGCAACATGTCGCTCCTATTTCTGGCAGTCTCTTGCTAATGCAATCATCAGCAGTTATTAGAAATTAAGGTTGTTTATTGCATGGGTTTAGAGTATGAGTATAGTGTTCAAACTCCATGTTCATTCTATGAATTTCATAGGGTTTTCTTGGCAAGAAAGCATGGAATAATTCATAGCACATTTTTATTTTTCATGTTGCAGTTTCAACATGTCACAAAAACAATAGATTTTCTACACTCTTTCTGTACAAGACAAATAACATGCAATAAAGTACAGAATGGAGTGGGTGGTTTATAGGAAGTTTGGTCCAAAAGTTGTATTTCAAAATGCATTGCAGCCTAATAGTATCTGCTGTCTCCTATGTCTGTGAGGCAGTAAATCTGCCCCACCTCTTCGTTGGCTTTATGGGAGCTATCCAAGGTTCTGGACCTAGTTAAGAAGAGGGATCAGCACCTTGTAGTGATCCTTAAACGCTGAATTATAAACTTGTATTAATTGATTTTCCAAATTCATGAGGACTAAAAATGCAATATTATTTGTAGGGTACCGGACGTTCCCAAGGATGTCAATAATTTTGCCTTCTATCAGTAATATTCTCTCTCTTTTAATTAACAGATTCATGTGAAAGTGGTATTTGGAAGCAGCATTAGACTGGGCATGAACTGAAATTCATTCCATCATAATTACTGTGACTTCACCCTATGGAAATTGTGATTTTCACTTTTGTGAAGAAGTTTGAATTCTCGGCAAGATACTGGTAGTTCTGATGGCTCAATGAAATACAAATACTAAAATACTACAGGATGTAGCCACTACATCAAATGGCAATAATTGCAATGTACAAGGATCCTTTACAGTGTTACATGCTCATTGAAACCCAAGCAGAGAACACATACAGGTTATGGAGACAATTTCCCACTACCCTGAATCTGCTGTCAAAAACAGCATTTTCTTTAGAATAAATTTTAGCAGTAAAAAGATGGCAGTATTAAAAAGAAAACACTATCTTCTGCTGATATGCAGTAAATTTCAGCAGCAAAATCAATAGCATAGAAGAACTGGGGGAAAGGGGACTAGAGACATGGGGCTCACAAGTTGCCAAAACCATTGCCAATGGATTAAATCTGCTCTCTAGGGTACTACTTGACCCAACTAGTTAGTCTTACCACTGGAAGTCAGTTATCTTCTGTAGCAAAGGTAGTTTTTCGTCAGCTGCAATTGTGAATCAGACATTCCTGAACACAGGCAGCGTGTAATCAACTATCCACGTTTTGGCAATGTGCCTGTGTTAATTCTAGGGTAGTATTCTTAAATTTCTTATAACAAAGGCAACAAACTTTTTAGGGATATTCTGCTACTGCAGAAAGAACATTTGAGTGTTTGAATGAGAAAAAATATAATATTTGGAGACGTGATGCAAAAGAGGAGCCCATACAACTGTAGAGAATACTTCTACACACAGATGCCATTACACGTTATTATTACTCTTATTAGGAAAAACAGCCCATTTGTTAGTGAAGTATTACATCACATAAGCAGATAGCACACAATACATAGCATAATTAGACAATTTAATACATTACAGTGAATATCATTTTTTTTAAAAAAACTCCCTAAACCTCAGACCACTGAGCTCATCCATAAAAACAATTGTGCTAAGCTCCAACATAACTCCATTTCCTTTAGGCTGTGAAAATATAGCCTGATTAAAAGTAGTTTCTAAAAATGTACATTACCAGAGCTGTCTGACCACTGCCTATTAAAGGCCATCAGGAAAGACCTGGTCCCAGAAAAGAGTTTTAATTTGCGACTGAAAAGCCAGGAGGGAAGGGTCCGATCGCACCCCTCTAGAAAGAGAGTTACAGAGTCACATGGTCACCACTGAGAAGGCCTTCTTTCTTGTTCCCACTAATCACACTTGTGACTATGGTGGAACTGAAAGAAGGACCTCTCTTGTTGATCTCGGGGCTAATGTGGGTTTGTGGGAGATGAGGTCCCTCAAGTAAATGGCCAGTGTAGATGGTGCCTAGGACTCTGGAGACCAAGATTCAATTGCCCACTCAGTTACTGGGTGAGTCACACACCCCAGAGAGTTTTTCCTTAGGGTCTCCATAAGTTGGAAATGGGTTGGTGGCACACAACAACAAACACAATAAATATTCAAAGTACCTCATTATATATATGCTGAAGCCTAACCCTGCCAAGACACAAATGTGTGCTTTCCACCTATGCAACCGTGAAGCCAACAGGAAACTGAAAGTCACCTGGGTAGGTCAAGAGCTTGAACACTGTTTTCATCCTAAATATCTCGGTGTCACCTTAGATTGAACACTAGCATATAGGAAACACTGCTTGAACACCAAGCACAAAGTAGCTGCATGCAATAACATCCTGTGGAAACTTACTGGCAGCACATGGGGTGCAGACCCAAAATTAGTAAGAACATCAGCCCTGGCCTTGTCTTACTCAACTGCTGAGTATTCCTGCCCTGTTTGGCATAGGTCTGCCCATGCAAAGTGGGTGAACATAGCATTGAATGAAACATGCAAAATAATCACAGGATGTCTTAAACCTACACCTGTTGATAAACTCTTCAAGCTAGCTGGCATTGTCCCCCCCCCCCCCCCGATGTGCGACTGGATGTTGCTGCTAAATGTGAGAGAAATAAGGTTGAACACTGTGAAAACCATCCATTACATGGCTACCTGCCTCCTCTCAGTAGACTCAAATCAAGGAAAAGCTTCATGAGAACTACCACTCCTCTTGGCATCCCCCAGGAACAGCAAGGGTATCCCTCTGGGCAGCTCAATCAGGAAATCCCAACTGGATGGCCCCCCAAGAGAGTCTTCCTCCAGGGGCAAACCAAGAATGGGCAACTTGGAAGCCCCTGAACAGACTCAGAAGCGGAGTGGGCAGATCAAAAGACAACCTGACAAAATGGCACTACCTAAAAGAATCTTGCACCTTGTGTGATTGTGGAGCAGAACAGACAACTCTGCATCTGTATGCTTGTCCATTGTGCCCTGCCTCACGTACAGAGGAAGAATTGTTGGAGGCTACAGACAATGCTGTTGCCCGTTTTTGGTCAAAAGATATTTAGCCACCTGCGCTCCTTCTATTTTTATTGGTTTTATACTAATTTATGCAATGCAAAAAAAAAATTCTGAATACTTGTGTTATGTTTGTCTCCTGTGGCAAGCTTGAAGAGTTTTAATAACTGACATGTCCATATTCACAAGGGCATAGAATTCTTAATTTTGTAAATTTTATGAGCTTCACAGTTTTGGAGATAACTTCTATTTGTAGGATTAAGATCTCAGAGTCCTTTTAGGAATCAAAATCTCAGCCCATTTCAAAATACAGTCACCCTTAGAACAGTAATATGTTCAAAGTGCTGGCTTTAGCCTATAAATCCGTAAACGGTTCTGGCCCGACTTACCTGTCCGAACGCACCTCCTCCTATGAACCAGTTAGGACATTAAGATCATCTGGGGAGGCCCTTCTCTCGGTCCCGCCGGCATCACAAGTACGCCTGGCGGGGATGAGAGATAGGGCCTTCTCAGTGGTGGCCCCTCGGCTGTGGAACGCCCTTCCTACAGATATCAGATCAGCCCCCTCCTTGCTGGCATTTTGGAGGAAAATGAAGACCTGGCTGTTCGAACAAGCATTTGATTAGGCAGTGTAATTGATTATAGGAACATGGAATAACAGATGATGAGACTGGATTCTGATTCTATTGATGAGACGTAACTGATTGTCATATTAATGTTTAATTGTTGTTGTGCTATTGCTTTTAAATATTCCAATGATTTTGTAATATTGTATTGAAACAGTTGTTAACCGCTTTGAGTCGCCTAGGGGCTGAGAAAAGCGGTATATAAATGAAGTAAATAAATAATAAATAAATGTTTTTGATATGAAATGTATATGCAACAACAAACAAATAAACACCTCCTCAAAACCCAAACCCAAAACTGTTTAGGTCTGTTGTGTTTGGAAGAAGAAACCATTGTATCAGAGGGCCAGGCTTAACAGATCCCACAAAGATCAGCCCTCCGGGTGTTTTGGACTTCAACTCCCACAGCGGCTGTTAGGAAGTGTGGGAGTTGAAGTCCAAAACACCTGGAAGGCCGAAGTTTGCCCATGCCCGGTATAGAAAGAACAAGGGTGCCTTCCAGAGATTCTCAAAAGCGAGTCCTTCAGGTCTTTGGACTTCAACTCCCAGAAGCCTCAGCTGCCTTGGTCAACGAGGAGGGATTCTGGGAACTGAAGTCCAAACAACTTGGATGGGCAGAAGTTGGGAAACTCTGGTACAGAAGCTCAACGGCTCTGCTGCTCGATGAGGGACACAAGGAGGTGGCAGGGAAGGCTCCCCAGCTCCGGGGGGCGCGCAAAATGGGGGTCCGTCCCTCCCCACCGCCCAGGGACCCACCTAGGTCTTTGTCGTTGATGCCCAGGTGGTTGTCGAGCTCTGTGCAGACTTTGGAGACGAGCGAGAGGTACTCGAGTTTGGCAAGCTCCTCCACAGGGTCCGCCATGGCAACACGCCGCCGCCCCCACCGCTAACCAGACGCGCTTCCGGTTCTCCCCTCCGTGCGTCCCTTAGCGTAAGAGCGTCACGCGCATTACGCCTTACTTCCGGTGTATTCCCCTAAACTTATAAAAGGTTAGAATGCCGCTCTCAGCAGACATCCGGTGTCAATAAGCAGACAGCCTCAAACTTCTGTCCTCTCGCTGATTGGACCTCCAACTCCCAGAATTCCTGACCATAGAACAAAATGGTTTTGGAATTGGAGGCCCGCAGTTTGACAATGCCTACAATGAAACCTCTCTCCAGATTAGAAGTGAGAGGTACCAAAAGAGATTTCCCATAAAAAACTCTAAAATTAACAACAGCAAAACAACAGAGAGGAAACAATCAGGCACATCGAAACACCTCTCAACAAAAGATTGCCCCAGGCACTGCCAGGTCATCAAATGCTAATCAAGGTGGTCAGCTGAAACATTCACACCTAGCTCCAGCAGACAAGAGTCCTTTGTCCCACCTTGGTATTTTATTTTATTTTTATTTATTTATTATTTATCGTGCCATCCACAACCAGAACACTGTATTACATTTCTAACAGAACAAAACAAAAAAACAGATTAAAAAAAACACACCAATTTTGCAGGTGGTCAGTGGTTTGCTCTTCTCCACACTCGCATGTCGTGGATTCAACATTGTAGCCCCATTTCTTAAGATTGGCTCTGCATCTCGTGGTGCCAGAGCGCAGTCTGTTCAGCGCCTTCCAAGTCGCCCAGTCTTCTGTCCTCCCAGGGGGGAGTCTCTCATCTGGTATCACCCACGGATTGAGGTGCTGGGTTTGAGCCTGCCACTTTTGGATTCTCGCTTGCTGAGATGTTCCAGCAAGTGTCTCTGTAGATCTTAGAAAACTATGTCTAGATTTAAGTCGTTGATGTGCTGGCTGATACCCAAACAAGGGATGAGCTGGAGATGTCTCTGCCTTGGTCCTTTCACTATTGGCTGCTACTTCCTGGCGGATGTCAGGTGGTGCAATACTGGCTAAGCAGTGTAATTTCTCCAGTGGTGTAGGGCGCAGACACCCCGTGATAATGTGGCATGTCTCATTAAGAGCAACATCCACTGTTTTAGTGTGGTGAGATGTGTTCCACGCTGGGCCTGCGTACTCAGCAGCAGAGTAGCATAGCACAAAGGCAGATGTCTTCACTGTATCTGGTTGTGATCCCCAGGTTGTGCCAGTCAGCTTTCGTATGATATTGTTTCTAGCACCCACTTTTACTTGATATTCAGGCAGTGCTTCTTGTAGGTCAGAGCACAGTCCAGGGTGACTCCCAGGTATTTGGGTGTGCTGCAATGCTCCAGTGGGATTCCTTCCCAGGTGATCCTCAGAGCTCGGGATGCTTGTCTGTTCTTAATTCTGAAAGGTACATGTCTGTGTTTTAGATGGGTTGGGGATCAGCTGGTTTTCCCTGTAATAGGCAGTAAGAGCACCTAGAGCTTCGGAGAGCTTCTGTTCAACCATCTCAAAGCTCCCTGCTTGAACAATAATGGGCAGGATATAAATATATGAAATTTTGTGCTTACTCTTTGTGTGGTTTCCTAATAAATAAAAATTGTGGTTTACTAAAGATATTAGAATCATAGAATGAAAGAGTTGGAAGAGACCTCATGGGCCATCCAGTCCAACCCCCTGCCAAGAAGCAGGAATATTGCATTCAAATCACCCCTGACAGATGGCCATCCAGCCTCTGTTTAAAAGCTTCCAAAGAAGTAGCCTCCACCACACTCTGGGGCAGAGAGTTCCACTGTTGAACGGCTCTCACAGTCAGGAAGTTCTTCCTCATGTTCAGATGGAATCTCCTCTCTTGTAGTTTGAAGCCATTGTTCCGCGTCCTAGTCTCCAGGGAAGCAGAAAACAAGCTTGCTCCCTCCTGTGGCTTCCTCTCACATATTTATACATGGCTATCATATCCCCTCTCAGCCTTCTCTTCTTCAGGCTAAACATGCCCAGCTCCTTAAGCCGCTCCTCATAGGGCTTGTTCTCCAGACCTTTTATCATTTTAGTCGCTCTCCTCTGGACACATTCCAGCTTGTCAATATCTCTCTTGAATTATTAAACAAATGCTGAGGGATCTTGTAGTAAAGGGGACAAAGGCTGGATCTTCACTGGCCTATAATCCAGATTCAGAATGTGGATTAACTAAATTGAATCGGGTTATATTAATCTATACTGGCCCACAATTCAGATCAATGCAGTTTATCCACATTCTGAAGCTGGATTACAGGGCAGCTTAGATTCAGCCGTAGCGACTGCAATTTCTGTCCCTCTCCATTGATTTTTCAGGATAACTCTCACTTCCGGCCTGGGGATGGTGCATTACAATAGTAAACAGGAAATGACGTTGAAGACAAGCAGGTGGTTGCAGGCTTTGTCTGGCAGAAGAGGAAAAACTACCTTTCCCAACAACCTCTGCAGTTCGACTCGACTCTTCCGGGAGGACCCTCCCCCCAGCCCTGATTGGCCAGTGCCAGGAGGACACGTGACATTGTGGCCTAGCTGTGGGAAGATGGCGGAACCGTCCAGCGTCTCTTCGGAAAATGCTTGGGTAGGAAAAGTGAGTGGAGCTGGGAGGGGCTTGGTTGGGCCTCGAAGTACATAGCAGGCCTGTGGAGGTCAGGGACTTCCTTGTCCTTTCGGGCGAAGAAATGTAAAGTAGCCTCTGAGCATACGAAGAATGTTTCTTCAAACCTCAGCTTTGGCACCATTCCGTCTGTTAAACTAACCATAGGCCAGTGCGTGAGAGAGGGGCTTCCTCTTTCTGTTATGTTTAGATTTACAAAGGGTTTAATTAAATCTTAACTATAAAACAATTCACCTGTTTTGAGGGGATGTTTAAGCAGCTGCTTCTGCTCCTGCATTTGGCTGGCAGCCATTTGTGTTGCCATTTTTAATAATAATAATAATAATAACTAGCTGTACCCGCCACGCATTGCTGTGGCCAACCTTCCCTCCCTCTTTCTCTCCTTTCCCTCCTTCCTTTGCTCCCTCTTTCCTCCCTCCCTCCCTTCCTTCTCTACCTCTTTCCTTCCTCCCTTTTTCTCCCCCCTTCTCTCCTTTCTTCTCTACCTCTTTCCTTCCTTTGTTTTTTGCTTCCATTCTTCCTTCTGTCTTTCCTTCCCTCTTTCCTTCTTTTCCTTTCCCTCTCCCCTTCCCTACCTCTTTCTTTCCTTTCCCCTCCCGTTTTTTCCTCCCTCTTTCTCTCCTTCCTTCCTTCTCTACCTCTTTCCTTCCTTCTTTTGCTCTTTGCTTCCATGCTTCCATCCCTTTCATTCTTTCTTTCCCTCTCTCTTTCTCTACTTCCTTCGCTCCCTCTTTCCTCCCTCCCTCCCTTCTCTACTTCCTTCTCTACCTCTTTCTTTCCTTCCTCCCTTTTTCTCCCCCTCTTCCTCTCCTTTCTTCTCTACCTCTTTCCTTCCTTTGTTTTTTTGCTTCCATTCTTCCTTCGCTTTTTGCTTCCATCCTTCTCTCTCACTTTCTTTCCTTCCCCCCCTCTTTCTCTCCTTTTTCCCTCCTTCCTTCATTCCCTCTTTCCTTTTCCTTTTTTCTTTCCTTCTTTCTTCCTTCTCTACCTCTTTCTTCCTTCCTTCACACTTTGCTTCCATCCTTCCTTCTCTTTCCTTCTCTCCCTCTTTCTCTCATTCCTTCGCTCCCTCTTTCCTTCCCCCCCCGTTCTTTTCCTTCTCCTTTCTCTCCTTCCTTCCTTCTCTATCTCTTTCCTTCCTTCCTTCACACTTTGCTTCCACCCTTCTCTCTCACTTTCTTTCCTTCCCCCCTCTTTCTCTCCTTTTTTCCCTCCTTCCTTCATTCCTTCTTTCCTTTTCCTTTTTTTCTTTCCTTCTCTCCTTCCTTCCTTCTCTACCTCTTTCTTTCCTTCCTTCACTCTTTGCTTTCATCCTTCCTTCTCTTTCCTTCCCCCCCCCATTATTTTCCTTCTCCTTTCTCTCCTTTCTTCCTTCTCTACCTCTTTCCTTCCTTCGTTTTTTGCTTCCATCCTTCCTTCTCTCTTACTTTCTTTCCTCCCCCTCTTTCTCTCCTTTTTTCCCTCCATCCTTCATTCCCTCTTCCCTTTTCCTTTCTTCTTTCCTTCTCTGCTTCCTTCCTTCTCTACCTCTTTCTTTCCTTCCCCCCTCTCATTTTCTTTTCCTCCCTCTTTCTTTCTTTCTTCTTTCTCCCTTCCTTCCCTCCTTCCTTTTTTTCTGTATTGTCATTTAGCTTTTCAGGGTTTTAAAAGTCATTTCCAGTTTTTTTTGGGGGGGGGGGGGGTGGTTTATGAGTGATGGTCACTCATTGGTCTGTTAGGGGTATAATGTCCAAATTTCGTGTTAATTCATCCAGTAGTTTTTGAATTCTGTTAATCCCACAAACGGACATTACATTTTTATTTATATAGATAATAATAACCTTATTTTTATACCCCGCCAACCATCTCCCCAAGGGTACTCGGGGTGGCTTACAAGGGACAAGCCCCAAAATTACAAATAAAACACACATTTAAAAACATCAGATAAAAGATAAAAACAAACACAATTGTAAGCAATATCAAACAACTAGCTGTGCCCTGCCACGCGTTGCTGTGGCCTATAGTAAAAGTTATCAAAGTTGAGGTAGATATCTGGACTATTATGAAAGAGAGGTACCTACCTATTCCTTCTCCCTTTTCCTCCCCCTTTCTCTCCTTTCTTCCTTCTCTACCTCTTTCTTTCTTTCACTACTTGGTTTCATCCTTCTCTCTTTCCTTCATTCCCTCCCCCTTTCTTCCTTTGCCTTTCTTCCCTCCCTGTTTGCTTCCTTCTTTCACTTTTTATTTCCTTTCACTTCACCACCATCATAACAATAACAATAATGCAATGCATTGCCTCTGGGACCTGACACCTCTCCCATTCCCCCTAAAAGGGTCTCATAGGAACAATAGCATAATAATAATAATAATAGAAATAACAACCTTTACCCGCCACGTGTTGCTGTGGCCAATCTTCCCTCTTTCTCTCCTTCTTTCCCTCCTTCCTTCCTTCCCTCCCATCTTTCCTTCTCCTCTTCTTTCTCTATCTCTTTCCTTCCTTCCCCCTTTTTCTTTCTTTTCTGCTGTCTCTCTTTTCTTTCCTTCCATCTTTCCTTTTCTTTCCTTTTCTTCTTCCTTCTTTCTCTAACTTTCCTTCCTTCCCCCTTTTTCTTTACCTCCCTTTCTCTTCTTCCTTCTTTCCTTCCTTCCTTTCTTTCCTGGATTTTGACAGGGCGGGAAGGGGCGGGGTGGGGTTTGGAGGTGGCGTGAAGTAAAAGGAGGTAAGATTGGGGCAGGGGAGTGATGGAGCGTGGGGTTGTGTGTGTGCTTGAGTAGATACGTTTGTACCTTGTGGGTTGTGTTATGGGCATGGGAATTTTGGTTAAGTTTCGTTGGGGTTTTTTTGAGTTTTTTTTTTGCCGTTTTGAGTGTGTTGTTGTGTTGTTTTTCATTTTGAGTAATATGTTTGTACCTTGTGGGTTGTGTTATGAGCATGGGAATTTTGGTTAAGTTTCGTTGGTTTTTTTAGAGTTTTATCCTTTTGCCGTTTTGTGAGTGTGTTGTTGTGTTGTTTTTCATTTTGAGTAGATATGTTTGTACCTTGTGGGTTGTGTTATGGGCATGGGAATTTTGGTTAAGTTTCGTTGGGATTTTTGAGTTTTGTTGTTTTGCCGTTTTGTGAGTGTGTTGTTGTGTTGTTTTTCATTTTGCGTAGATATGTTTGTACCTTGTGGGTTGTGTTATGGGCATGGGAATTTTGGTTAAGTTTCGTTGGGGGATTTTTGAGTTTTGTTTTGCCGTTTTGTGAGTGTGTTGTTGTGTTGTTTTTCATTTTGCGTAGATATGTTTGTACCTTGTGGGTTGTGTTATGGGCATGGGAATTTTGGTTAAGTTTCGTTGGGGGATTTTTGAGTTTTGTTGTTTTGCCGTTTTGTGAGTGTGTTGTTGTGTTGTTTTTCATTTTGAGTAGATATGTTTGTACCTTGTGGGTTGTGTTATGGGCATGGGAATTTTGGTTAAGTTTCGTTGGGGGTTTTTGAGTTTTGTTGTTTTGCCGTTTTGTGAGTGTGTTGTTGTGTTGTTTTTCATTTTGAGTAGATATGTTTGTACCTTGTGGGTTGTGTTATGGGCATGGGAATTTTGGTTAAGTTTCGTTGGGGGGTTTTTGAGTTTTGTTTCCTCGTTGGATGCCCCTAACAAATTTATATATATAGATATGGCTGAGAAAAAATATAGCTGAGGTTTAGGCGCCTTGCATGCAATACATCCTGAAGAGGAGCGCAAGGAAAGTGCAACAATCAAGTAGATAGGACTAGGAATAGTGTCATCAAAGTGTTGAGGTGGATGATAAGAGGGCTAAACATAAAATGCAGGAAAAAATTACTGGTTGACTGTTTAATCGAAAGCTTACCGGAATATCAAGTTTTTTAGTTGACACCGGAAAGAGGACAAAGTAGGAGCCTGTCTGATCTCCCTAGGGAGGGAGTTCCAGAGCCGGGGGGCCACCGGTTCTTTTTCTATTTTTATATATTTAGTATTTTTTGTATCTCCATATGGATCTCTGTCCTAAACTTTTTTGCTTTTGAACAGGTCCACCAAATGTGGAAAAATGTTCCAGTTTGTTGCCCACATTTCCAACATTTGTCCGAAGTGTTTTTATAACATTTTGAGATTTTGTAAGGGGTTAAGTACCACCTATAGCAGTCGTTATGTTGGCAATTTCTTCCTGGATGTTGGTCTTAAAATCTTGTAGGGTCTTTGGACGGTTCACATAAACACCGGATTTCAAAAAACCCAAGGAAAAAAATCACAAGGGGCCAAATCTGGAGAGCGGGCCGGCAACTCCAAATCCGCTTGAAAAGTAGGCCTCAACGGCAAAAGCATGCTCCCCACTGTTCCAACGCATGATGTGCGACTGAACTGTGTCAGGACAAAACTTTATACTCCTGCCTCTCAAACGAGACCACTAGCACTCCGCTACGTCTTCAACCGACTGAATGGCATGCATTTTAAAAAAGGAAGTTATGCTGCCTCGCCCTATAGAAGAAATGAATAAAGATTCTATGAATGGGGGCTCTGAGGTTAAACCCCAATTTGGACCACATAGGGATATTTGAAGAAGAAAATTGATATTTTGGCTCACACTTTTCCATTGTGTTGTTATCTTTTACAAGGGTTGAGGTTAGTTTTCTACTTATATATATCATAACAGGAAGGCTGGGTGTGGTCCCCCTGAACAGCAGTCTTCTAATGCAGAATTACCAGAACTTTGAACACAAGCATTTGTTTTAGGAAGGATACACTGCAACATTTCTTTGTACAGTAGAGTCTCACTTATCAACATAACCGGGCCGGCAGAACATTGGATAAGCGAAAATGTTGGATAATAAGTAGGGATTAAGGAAAAGCCTATTAAAACCTCAAATTATGTTACGATTTTACAAATTAAGCACCAAAACATTATGTTTTACAACAAATCGACAGAAAAAGCAGTTTAACACATGGTAACATTCTGCAGTAATTACTGTATTTATTAATTTAGTACCAAAACATTGCAATGTATTGAAACGGTTGTGGATCTGGGCAAAAGGCAGACTGCATTGGATAGTACAAAATGCTGGATGAGCGAAGGTTGGATAAGCGAGACTCTACTGTATTTCCCCTTTTTCAATCTTCGAGTAGTAGAGTCTAGAAGTGAAATAGTCAAAATCAGGATAGTAGTTTCTGTACCCTTGTAGGCTGCCCCAGTAGATAAACACTTCAAGGAAAAATAAACAAATCCCGTAATAGAATGCAAAGTGACTTTCAGAATGCAGAAGTGTCAGTTAAAAGGGGGAAAGTGAGGAGATTGGAAACTTGCAGGGAGGCGAGAAAGGTAATTAGGCTGCTTTAGCATCTACTAACAAATACATTTTCTAGGGAACAGATTTAAAATTGTGAGTTTGAACGTGGTGTTAATTCTAAACCTTTGTTTTCTGAATGGTGTAAGAATTTTTCAGAGAGAAGTACAAGGCCCCTTCTATACTGCCAGATAATTCAGGTTATCAAAGCAGAAAATCCACATTATCTGATTCCACACTGCCATAGTTCAAAGCAGATAATGTGGATTTTATACAGCTGTGTAGAAGGGGCCTAAGAGAAAAGGACTGTGGCTTCTTCAGTACTCTTCAAATTACTTTTGACAGTTAAAGCTTGTGCACCAGCTGCACCCGTACCTTGGGAAGTCTGATCTGGCTACGATGGTCCACGCTCTGGTCACATCCCGAATAGATTACTGCAACGCACTCTATATGGGGTTGCCTTTGAAGGCGGTTCGGAAACTGCAGTTAGTCCAATGGGCGGCAGCTAGATTACTAACAGGAGCGACATACAGGGAGCATACCACCCCCCCTGCTACGTCAGCTCCACTGGCTGCCTGTCCACTTCCAAGCTCAATTCACAGTGCTGGTTTTGACCTGTAAAGTTCTATACGGTCCTGGCCCAGCTTACTTGTCCGAACGCATCTGCCTCTACGTCCCACCTCGTAACTTAAGATCATCTGGGGAGGCCCTGCTCTCGCTCCCACCAACATCACAAATGCGGCTGGTGGAAACGAGAGTCAGGGCCTTCTCGGTGGTAGCCCCCCGCTTGTGGAACGTGCTTCCGAGCGAGATACAATTGATCCTATCCCTCCTGGCTTTCAAGAAGAAAGTAAAATTGTAGCTATGGGACCAGGCTTCCGGTCAGCAGACATATATTAGCACTTTAGTGGAAATGGATTAGAAGGACGATTTACACAAGGATACGATTCTATTTGGTAACAAATGTTTTTTATATTGTTTAATTAATGGGTTATGTATTTTTTGTATTTTAATGGTTTGATGGTTTGTTTAATGGTTACTGTATTAATTGTTCATGTAAGGGCATCGAATTGCTGCCTATGTAAGCTGTCCTGAGTTCCCCTTTTGGGGTAGAGAAGAGACAGGATATAAATACCAGAAATAAATTATATAGCTAGAAGTAATACTTTCACCTATGACAAAGCAAGGCTGCTTCAATTTATTAATTATCAGTTGGTTGCTCTTATTTATTTGTTGAACACACTGATTATTTTCTCCATGGAAGCATACAGTTCAGTTTTAGAAAAATTTGGAGAAGCCTGTTCAGAACTAGACTCAGTTGAATGAGTCATTATATATCTCAAATAAACGTTGGGTGTTAATTTTTTCTCTCCTTTTGTGACTTAAACCAGGTCGAGTCTTCTTTTAGTGACAACGGGCTAGATCCTGGTAAGTGTCTGGTTGCCTTCTCATAAAATATTACTTGTTGTTTCTTTTTCTTTTATTCGACCCTGTATTTAGTGTGAACTGTTTCTAGCATGGTGACATTATATAAATTTATTGTCGAAGGCTTTCATGGCCGGAATCACTGGGTTGTTGTAGGTTTTTTCGGGCTATATGGCCATGTTCTATTGGCATTTTCTCCTGATGTTTCACCTGCACCTATGGCAAGCATCCTAAGAGGTGAGGTCAAAATGTCTGAGGATGCTTGCCATAGATGCAGGCGAAACGTCAGGAGAAAATGCCTCTAGAACATGGCCATACAGCCCAAAAAAACCTACAACAACCCAATATATAAATTTTCAGTTGGTATAAATGTCTAGCAATAATTTGTGGTTGTTACCAACTTTTTAACTCCTTGAGTCTTCTTAGTTCATGGAATACATGGCCTTATTTAACCTTCAGAATTCGAAGCAGTGTCAGTCAGCATGTCTTTTCCTTGCTTTATTTTTATCTGTAACCTGTCAATATGAAGTCACTTAACAAAAAAGGCCATTGTGTGTGTGTGTGTGGCGGGGGGGGAGGCAGTTTATGGTGACCAAATTGTGGGCCCTTTTTGTCATTCACTGTTGTGCATAGAACACTTACCATTTATATAATACGTAACACTGTTGTGTACCAATAAATATAGACTAGCTCCTGGTTGCATAATTGACATCAGTTATCCCAGTTAGAATCCCTGAATAGTTTATAAACATGCTGTGAGAGGGCAGGGAAATCTATTTTTCCCCTTCAGTCAGTTTAACTGCAAACACGGAAAGGTGGCTGAAATTAAGGGGCATACTGGATTATATTGAATATGCACCCTCATATACTTTGGTGTTTATCCTCCAGCACTCTTCGTTGAAAGCAGGAGAAAAGGGAGTATTGTATCAAGAGCTAACAGCATTGGCTCAACCAGTGCCTCTTCAGTACCAAATACAGGTATGGCCCACTGGCTCCCCTTTCAAGTGAAAGTATCAGTTTTCTCCCAACTGTTCAGTGAACTCTTGCATTATATATGGCTGACTGTGGGGCTAGAAAGAAGAGAAATAACCTTGGAAATTAGAATCAGCAGGCCTGTAGTTGTTTATATGTGACTTTTAGAAGATGTGTTCCTGATATTCTTGTACTAAACTTGGTTGACCTACTACCCTTCCTTCCATGGCACTCATGAAAGTATGACAATGGCAATATATAAAGAATGGTCCATAAAGAAGAAATCTGAGATGACTAGGGCTAGTTCTTACCAGGCTCTCATCTCTTAGTAATTTGAGTCTTGTGAAATATTGTAGTTGTATTGTAGTTGTTGAGAGGCCCCAACAAGTATTTCCTTGGGCCACTCAGACAAGAAAAATTGTTCTCCTTCTACAGATGATGAGGACTCAGATTACCAAGAAACCTACAAAGAAACGTATAAGGACCGTCGTCGACGTGCACACACACAGGCTGAGCAGAAGCGAAGAGATGCCATCAAAGTGAGAACTTGAGATGAGCTGCTAGCTATGCTTGAGTACTCTTTTCCTTCATTCTTTCTGCAAGATGTTTGTGTTGATCCCAAGTTTGCAAGCTTGGTAGTTGATTAAATGTCCTTTGACCAGTAGCTGGCCACTTGGAATGCCTCTGATGTTACTATAAGGAGATCCTCTGTTTATTTTATTTATCGTGTCATCAGCAACCAGACCATTGTATTACATTTCCAACAGAACAACACAAACAAATAGATAAAAAAAACCCACAAATTTTGCAAACTTGGTAGTTGATTAAATGTCCTTTGACCAGTAGCTGGCCACTTGGAGTGCCTTTGATGTTACTTTAAGAAGGTCCTCCATTGTGCATGTAGCAGGGCTCAGGTTGCATTGCAGCAAGTGGTCTGTAGTTTGCTCTTCTCCACACCCGCATGTCGTGGATTCCACTCTGTAGCCCTATTTCCCAAGGTTGGCTCTGCATCTCGTGGTGCCAGAGCGCAGTCTGTTCAGTGCCCTCAAAGTCGCCCAGTCTTCTGTGTGCCCATGGGGGAGTCTCTCATTTGGTATCAGCCATTGATTGAGGTTCTGGGTTTGAGCCTGCCATATTTGGACTCTCGCTTGCTGAGGTGTTCTAGTGAGTGTCTCTGTAGATCTTAGAAAACTATTTCTTGATTTAAGTCATTGATGTGCTGGCTCATACCCAAACGGGATGGGCCGGAGATGTCACTGCCTTAGTCCTTTCACTATTGGCTGCTACTCCCCAGCGGATGTCAGGTGGTGCAATACCGGCTAAGCAGTGTAATTTCTCCAGTGGTGTAGGGCGCAGACACTCCGTGATAATGCGACATGTCTCATTAAGAGCCACATCTGCTATTTTAGTGTGGCGCGATGTGTTCCACACTGGGCATGCATACTCAGCAGCAGAGTAGCAAAGTGCAAGGGCAGATGTCTTCACTGTGTCTGGTTGTGATCCCCAGGTTGTGCCAGTCAGAGGGGAAAGGGGACTGGTTATAGTCAATCTTTTTGTCAAAAGAAACAGTTTTGTTTTGCCTTATTGTTGTTCTGTCTCTCCCACAGAAAGGCTATGATGATTTGCAAGCGATTGTACCAACATGCCAGCATCAAGATTTCTCACTAGGTTCTCAGAAGCTAAGCAAGGCAATTGTGCTGCAAAAAAGTGAGTTGAACCAAGCAGGGAGAAATTGCTTTTACATCCCATCTTGATAAGACTCCCTGTGGTTGCTGAACCATTTCTTTTGTTTGATCCACAGCTATTGATTATATTCAGTTCTTGCACAAGGAAAAGAAGAAGCAGGAGGAAGAAGTCACTACGCTCCGGAAAGATGTGATGGCGTTGAAAATCATGAAAATGTAAGATGCTGTGTTCGTGTGTGCACATGCAGACATGGGGACGCAATTCTTCAATAGCCACTGACCTCAGAGTATCCATATTCTCAAAATTTATTGTCAATTTAGGCAAGGAATACTCAGAGGTGATTTTGTCAGTTCCTTCCTCTGAAATACAGACTACATCACCCTGTATTCATTGGTAGTTTTCTATCCAAGTACTAACTCTGTTTGGCTTCCAAGATCAGACAGGATTTGGTGCGTTTAGAGTAGGATCCTCAAACAAAGGCCCAGGAGCCGGGTACGGTCCTCCATGTTCATTTACCTGGCCTTCGCTCAGGTTCAACTGAAACTACCTGAAAGTTTGAAACTACCTGAAAGCACACAACAACAACAATCCTATCTCATTCACCAAAAGCAGGCCCACACTTCCCATTGAAATACTAATAAGTTTATATTTATTTATCTATTTAAATAAAAATGTAATGTTCGTTTATGGGATTAACATAACCCAAAAACTACTGGATGAATTGACACCAAATTTGGACACAGTACACCTATCAAGCTAACGAGTGACTATCACTCATAAAAACACTGATAAACACACTAGAAGAGACTTAAAAAGTCAAAAAAAAATTACAACGCATGCACAAAACCACACACACACATTTATATATGTAATGCAAATACACAAAACACATATACACAGACTTGGCCACAGCAATGCGGGGCAGGGGACAGCTAGTTAATATAATAAGTTTATATTTGTTAAAATTGTTCTTCGTTTTAATTATTGTATTGTTTTTAAATGGTTTTTTGCACTACAAATATTTGTTAAAGTTCCTAATTTTAATTATTGTATTGTTTTTAAGTGATTTTTTTTGCACTACAAATTAGATATATGCAGTGTGCATAGGAATTATTTCATGTTTTTTTTTTCAAATTATAATCCGGCCCTCCAACATTTTGAGGGACAGTAACCTGGCCCTCTGTTTAAAAAGTTTGAGGACCCCTGATTTAAAGTATTTAGGTTCCTTGTTTATCTTTATGGAGCAGCAAATGCATCCTGTCTTTAAGGAGCTTATGTTTTTCCTCTGAAATGTGATGATTTGGTATATGAAACATTCCAAGCTAGAATAAGCTTTCCCAATCTGCATTTTCTGTGTTGTTTCTCTTAATTCCACCAACCATATTTCTGCCTTTTAGAAACTATGAGCAGATTGTGAAAGCTCACCAGGACAATCCAAATGAAGGCAAGAACCAGGTCTCTGATCAGGTGAAGTTCAACGTGTTCCAAGGAATCATGGACTCCTTATTCCAGTCCTTCAATGCCTCCATCTCCGTGACAAGTTTTCAGGAGCTCTCCGCATGTGTCTTCAGCTGGATAGAAGAGCACTGCAAGCCACAGGTAACTAGAGATGTGGTTAGTAGTGACCTGTAGCCAAGATTCACTTCATTTTATCATACCTCACTTCATTTTATCATACATCACATCTGGCCTGGCCATAAGTTTTTAAATCCTTTGTGTTATTGTTATGTGATTTATATTATTTTGTTGTTTTCTATTGTTGTTATTGCTTTTCTGTTGTGATGTGTTATTGGGCTTGGCCTCATGTAAGCTGCTCCAAGTCCCTTGGGGAGATGGTGTCAGGGTATAAATAACGTTTTATTATTCTTATATTATTATTATTTGATCATGCTAGTCTTCCTGGATCTAGTGCTTCTTTCCCTTGCAAACAGATTGTGACTTTATAAAGCAAGGCCCTTCGAAATGGCTTCCTTTCTTTTTCTACCATTGGCCTGCATCAAACAATCACCTATTATGTTTCTCCCTCCCTGATGAGGAACTCTCCTATGCTTCACAATACCATATAATCCTTTAAAATTTCTTCCTCTTCATTGCCACAGCACTGCATACGGAAAATGGTTAATTCTACAGTCGAAGACAAGGTTAAAATCAGGATAAAAAATTTAACTGTACTACATCCTGTGCTACAAGATTTCAGGTTGTCCTAGAATCTCTTATTTGGTATGATAGTTCACTTCTCCTTTTTTTAAAAACATAATTTTATTAAGAAAATATGTTCCAAAAAATAAGAGCAGAGTAGAATGAGGAAACGAGAATTACTGGCCAAAACAGACAAACAAACAAACAAACAAACAAAAAACACCTAATAAAACCCCAAAATTTGAAATAAAAAAGGAAAATTATAGAATACATTGAAAGAGTGGGAACAATTTTATTATTAGAAAAATTGGAAATAAGAGAAAAAAAGAAAAAAATGATCCTAAAAGGACCTAAAAAAGAAAAAAATAATTGTATTGACTTCCGTTCTTCTTACTAACAACCTATAAAAAAATATAAAAGTTGTCTTTAGATCATTCCCAGAATAAGTTTTTCCCCCTCAAATAAAGTTACAAACTTAATTGTTGACCTCATTTTTATATGTTTTTATAAATATATTTTTATATATAAAAGATCTTGTCCTCGTGGACAACAAGTTAAACATGAGCCAACAATGTGATGTGGCGGCAAAAAAAGCCAATGGGATTTTGGTCTGCATCAATAGGAGCATAGTATCTAGATCTAGGGAAGTCATGCTACCCTTCTATTCTGCTTTGGTTAGACCACACCTGGAATATTGTGTCCAATTCTGGGCACCACAATTGAAGAGAGATATTGACAAGCTGGAATGTGTCCAGAGGAGGGTGACTAAAATGATCAAGGGTTTGGAGAACAAGACCTATGAGGAGTGGCTTAAGGAGCTGGGCATGTTTAGCCTGAAGAAGAGAAGGCTGAGAGGAGATATGATAGCCATGTATAAATATGTGAGAGGAAGCCACAGGGAGGAGGGAGCAAGCTTGTTTTCCGTTTCCCTGGAGACTAGGACGCGAAAAAATGGGTTCAAACTACAAGAAAGGAGATTCCATCTGAACATGAGGAAGAACTTCCTGACTGTGAGAGCCGTTCAGCAGTGGAACTCTCTGCCCCGGAGTGTGGTGGAGGCTCCTTCTTTGGAAGTTTTTAAACAGAGGCTGGATGGCCATCTGTCAGGGGTGATTTGAATGCAATATTCCTGCTTCTTGGCAGGGGGTTGGACTGGATGGCCCATGAGGTCTCTTCCAACTCTTTGATTCTATGATTCTATATTCATCGAAGGTTGTCCAATCCGTCCCTTTTACACCTTGACCATTATTTTGTCTTAATAAGAATGTCAGTTCATCCATGCCCTTTATTTCCATTACTTTGTCTACCCGTTGTGATTTGGAGGGAGTCGAATCCGGTTTCCATGATTTAGCCAAAACCATTCTCCCTGCCGTAACGAAAAAAGTGAACAGTTTATCCAAATTAGTGTCTTTAAAGGTCTCCCTTTCAAACATTCCTAAAAGATAGAGCTCAGGTTTCATTGAAAAGTCAATTATTATTATTTTTTACACTCTGTATGTACCATTTTCCAGTATTCTTTTGTTCTCTCACATCCACCACATATGGTTATATACGTCTTCATGAACTTTACATTTCCAACAGTTATTGTCCATATTTTTATACACCATCCCTAATTTTTTAGGTGTCATATACCATCTATGTAGCATTTTTAACCAATTTTCCTTCAGATCGGTGGCACCCACACGATCTCTTCGCTCATCTGGAGAGGCCCTGCTCACGATCCCACCTGCATCGCAAGCACGATTGGTGGGAACGAGGGATAGGGCTTTCTCGGTGGTGGCCCCTCGACTCTGGAACTCTCTCCCTAAGGACATCAGGCAGGCCCCGTCGCTAGCAATCTTTAGGAGGAGCTTGAAAATGTGGTTGTTCCAGTGTGCCTTCCCAGAATAAGGATACTCCTAGCATTATGTTCCAACGCACTTTATCAGAGATCTAGGATATCTGCATGCCCATCCCCCTCCAAACACTCCACCTGGTCATGCCCAGCACTTTTTAATTTTAATTATTATTTTATTTTAATTATTTGTCCCTGCCATTTATTTTAATTGCTTCATTGTGTGCTGTTAATGTTATTGCTTTGTTTTTTGAGTTATTTTGTTGTTGTTATTGTTTTTACTATTGTATTTGGGCTCGGCCTCTTGTAAGCTGCATCAAGTCCTTTGGGAGATGGTAGCAGGGTACAAATAAAGGATGATGATGATGATTATTATTATTATTATATGTATACTTTAGACTTTTTTCCAAATTTGTTCCCATTCCCTTCTAAGGAGGAAGCCAGTTCACCTACTGATATTTTTTCATAGTCCTTATTCTGTGTGAGCTCTTGTGCCAGATACACTGTTTGGTAATTATACAGATGATGGCCTCCTTCCCATCTGATCTGGGCACAAATGTAAAAAGAGATTCTCCAAAAGTTGTTTAACCTGATCCAGTGTGCTGTCAGCTTATTTGGTTTCTTTTTCCACAGACCTTACGAGACATTGTCATTGGTGTCTTGCAACAATTGAAGAGCCAGCTCTACTGACCCCATGAAGACAGTTTAGGACATTGCATCTTGGAACTATGTGGTCAGGCTTGGATTTTGCCATTAATTCCTCTTCAAGCTTTTTATGGGACTACTGGTTGTGATTAGCCCTCCTTTCAGCCTGAACTCAAGTGAGCAAGAAATTCACTGTCTATTGATGAAAATTAACTCCTGCTGTACTCAATTTCAGGTCTTGGCCCTGTTCAGCAGTTTGATCCAGCTTGTCCTGATAGGAATCTGTAGCAAAACAGCCATGTTGTTTAAAATGAGCTTAGCTCCTTTTATAAGGACAGTGAAATACTAGGAGCTTAGCTGTTTTTAGACTTCCCTTTTTCTTAGAGCAGCAGCTGAGCTTTTTACATTCGTGGCACTAAAATGTTGAACTTGGTTTAACTGGCATTAGCTAGCTTAGGAAGTTGAAAGTAGGGCTGTTCATGTACATAGACTTAGTAGACACACAATGAGCTTGCATAGCATTTGCTTTGAGTTAAGGGCTGATTTATGCAACAAACTGTTGTATTTCGCATACTGCCTTTTGTTAGTCCTGCAGAGGAGCAATAATCCGTGGTACTTCAGAAGCCATTACCTCAAAGTCCTATGTAACCTACAGTCCAATTTCTTAGTGTCCTTATTGAATTGCTGGATCTACTCACAGGCACAGTTTGCCTTCAGTATACAAATAAATCCACAGATTTTGTTAGCACAGGATACAGACTTGCATACCTAGTAATGCAGGAAAATGAGCCTAAGCTAATCCACCTCTGCAACTTCTGCTTTCTGTTTATTAACTAAAAAGAATGTCGTTTTTAAAATACACACTGCTTTCTGGCTCTGCTGCTGGTTGGTGGAGAAGGACTCTGGTTTAGACAGACCTCACTCATGAAAATTAAACTATTTTTTTATCATAACAAGCAACAAGCAATTCTAATAAATTTTGCTAAGTGTTTCAGTTATGTTGGTGTTCTTGCTTAATTTGTTTTAAAAATAGTAGAAAATCTCTGGTACTTAATGCATTTGAAAACTTAACATAAGAGCACTTTCCCCTCTTTAAATGTAGTAATCCAACAACTATCTGCTAGAGCAGGGGTCCTCAAACTTTTTAAGCAGAGGGCCAGGTCACAGCCCCTCAAACTGTTGGAGGGTCGGATTATAATTTGAAAAAAACAAACAAACCCATTTATTTATTTATTTGGTAGTTTTGTATACCGGTCTTCTCACCTCCATTCGAGGGACTCGGGCCGGTTTCCAACATCAATATTACAGACCGTCATTAAAACATCATATTTCTAAATCACACTAAAACATTAAAACAATTAAAATGGCAAAAATACAATCATATGATTACAGTGGTCAGTCGTCATCAAAGTCATTATTCTTGGTCATCCATCCATATCACAGGATCATGGCTCATTCGTTGAATGCCAATCCCCAAAGCCAGGTTTTCACCTGTTTCCTGAGCGTTAAGATTGAAGGGGCAGTTCTGATCTTCAGTGGGAGTTCCAGAGTTGAGGGGCCACCACCGAGAAGGCCCTGTCTCTCGTCCCCACCAGCCGCGCCTGTGAGGCCGGTGGGATCGAGAGCAGGGCCCCTCCAGACGATCTTAGTAATCTTGATGGCTCATAGGGGAGGATACGTTTGGACAGGTAAATTGGGTCGGAGTCGTTTAGGGCTTTATAGGTTAAGACCAGCACTTTGAATTGTGCTCGGAAGCTGACTGGCAGCCAGTGGAGCTGGCGCAACAGAGGAGTAGTATGCTCCCTGTACCCCGCTCCCGTTAGTAACCTGGCTGCCGCACGTTGGACTAATTGAAGCTTCCAGGCAGTCTTCAGAGGCAACCCCACGTAGAGAGCGTTGCAATAATCTAAACGGGATGTAACCAAAGCGTGGACCACCTATGAATGAATTCCTATGCACACTGCACATATCTTATTTGTAGTGCAAACACTTAAAAACAATACAATAATTAAAATGAAGAACAATTTTAACAAATATAAACTTATTAGTATTTCAATGGGAAGTGTGAGCCTGCTTTTGGCTGAAGAGATAGGATTGTTGTTGTTGTGTGTGTTGAAATCATTTCAGACTTAGCTTGACCCTGTGCGAGGGCCGGGCAAATGACTTTGGAGGGCCGTATCTGGCCCCCGGGCATTAGTTTGAGGACCCCTGTGCTAGAGTGTCAAATTAGCATAAAAGGTAACACAGCTATAACTCCATAACAGAACTTCAAAAGAAACTCCTTCTAGATTCTAGAAGTTAACTCTGAAAGTGACCTATTTGTGTTATCTCATTACCTGACAAAATTATCTTTATTTATTTATTTATGGCATTTATATGCTGCCCTTCTCACTCCAAAGGGGACTCAGAGCGGCTTACAAGATATATTTTCATACAATATATTATATTATTAGCATAGTACAATATCAGTATTATATATTACTATATTGCACTAAACCATTTATATTGTAATATTATTAGTAATATTACATGTAATGTAAATATATAATTATAATTATAGTATTGAATTATTATTACTAGTATTATATTGTATTACATTATAATATTATATGTATATACAATGTAGTATATTATATTATTAGTAAAGACAAGATGGAACTGTCTTCTGCTCCCCTCTGTCTTCACCCTGGCCAGAAGCAGCAGTTGGTGTTGGGGGGGGGGGGGCAACTGATGATGTAGGCAGAAGACAAGATGGAAAACTCTTCTGCTCCCCTTTCTTTCCTCCTTCCATTACATATATAGGGGTTTTTTTTGGGGGGGGGCAATCAAAGGGGCAAATGAATCCAAATAGCAGAGGAACTGCTTATTACACTTTCCCAATATTGGGTAGAATCTGTCAGTCATCTTCATTTGATCTGTCCTTGCTATCTTTTCATCCAGATTCTAGTCCCAAAGCCACTGTTGTACCTTGTGTGCCCCTGGTCTGGATATCCAGAAAAGGTGATTAAATCAGGACTCAGAATCGGCATTAATATAATGGTCACAATATATTCCATACATTATAAGAAGAAGAAACAATAACGTCATCAGATTATTTCAAGTATTTATTTATTGTTTTTCCTCTGTGAACAATTTTCTCAAGCGCTTCTTGGTAACCCTGTGTAATGAAGCTACAAGCTTTCCAAACAAAACAGTAATCAGCCTAACAGGCCTGAGGAAAGATGTTGGAAGAGAGAAATAATAGTGCAGTAGGCAGGTTCTGCTGATTTTCACTGAATGCAATATTCTTTCAAAAATATACAGCAATGAAGAATATGGAGGACTGAAACTGGAGTGCTATGTAGACAATAATCTCATAAAACAGCTGAGCTCCTGGTTCAGATTGTAGGTAAAGTGACATTGAAATCCTCGTCTGTCTCAATGCCAACCTCCTCCTGCATAAAAGACAAAAGATGCCACTTAAGAGGAAAGATGGGACAATCGGAACATCCTATACCTGATATCTCTGCAGCAGATGAGCTGTTGAACTGCAGCAAAATAACTTGTTCAACTACCCAATGTAGTTATGTCAAGCAACACCAAATAGAGTGCGCTTATAATACTCACAAAGAACTGTTTCTTGCTTTTAGGATAGCCTTCAAGGATTGCATCAAGTAGTTCTGTTGCCTATTTAAAGAATAAATAGTAAGACAGAATACAATGATAAATACAGCAGGTTTGGATCTACTTTGGCTTCAGTCTAACGCCAAGTGGCACAAATTATTTATAAATATACCCAGCTTGGGAACTGAGAATACTACCTCTTTTGATAAGAACAAATATCTTGCTCTGTGCAGCAGAAGTATAACCAACACTTAAGTTACATCTAAGAGAATATAGATGAGCTACATGGGTGTACCAAGCACCATGTTTGTAGTAGTAGTAGTAATAATAATAATAATAATAATATATTTATACCCCGCTCCATCTACCCCAGGGGGATTTGGGGCGGCTTACATGAGGCCACGTCCATCAACACAATAAACACAGTATTACACAAAAACATAAAATGCAAAAACCAATATAATAAACAACACAGCAATATAAAATCAAACATCAAACACAAGAAATTCCGCAGGGCAGGGCCACTTCAAGAATAAAAATTTAAAATATTTTAAAAACACTGGGAGATAAGCAATGTAAGAATGTCGTGAAGGGGAACCGGGATGAAGAAGAATTTAATTGCACAAACCATAAACTAAAATGCTTCTGAGGTCATTTTGGACAGGGAGTGTATCAACCAGACATGCGAGACTTGTTAAGTAACTATTTTCGTGTATAAACACCGAAATATACAATGGTGAGGAAAAATCTTACAGACCACCGCCATGTTTAATTCATAATACAAGTAGGAGTGTTCAATAGAGGATACAGTGCCATATATAACAATATGTAACACAATTTTTGTTCCTGGGTTATAAATGTCATTTCCTAGTTGGGTCTATCATAAAACATGGAAAAGGTTTATTAAAATGCAAAAACTTTGTTTTTGAGGGACATCCTGCAGCATATTATGTTACAGTTTTCCAAGGTGTATCTTATTGAGTCTCAACGAATTTAATATAGTTTGTGATAGCCACAAAAACAAAGTTTTGGCAGTGTAATGACGACTTTCAAAGTAAGTACTGGCCAAACAGGAAATAATACTTTCAAACTAGGAGCAGAATTTTTTTTTCAAATTTTGTTACATAGTGTAATTGATTAGCTAGACCAGTGGTTCTCAACCTGTGGGTCCCCAGATGTTTTGGCCTACAACTCCCAGAAATCCCAGCCAGTTTACCAGCTGTTAGGCTTTCTGGAAGTTGAAGGCCAAAACATCTGGGGACCCACAGAGTGAGAATCACTGAGCTAGACCAAATGTATACTAAATTCAAACACCTAAAAGGGTAATGAAGAAAACAGAAAGAGATGTCATTACTTCTGGCAAATACAAATAAGAAATGACTCTTGCTTCAGAGAGCATTTGATAGCTTGAAATATGAGTTTTGCTTCAATGCCACTGTAACCATGCAAAACCAGTGAGCTGGTGAATAATATTTTCACTTCTAGATCTGTCCTGGGGGCAGTACTTTTTATCTTGCTTACACATGCAATTGGAGTGAGTAATGGGGCAGTCACATATGCTGAAGAGACAACATTATTTAAGTTAATGATTAAAGCAGTGGTTCTCAACCTGTGGGTCCCCAGATGTTTTGGCCTTCAGCTCTCAGAAATCCTAACAGCTGGTAAACTGGCTGGGATTTCTGGGACTCGTAGGCCAAAACACCTGGGGACCCACAGGTTGAGAACCACTGGATTGAAGGATGGGATTGTAAAGTATTAAAATAGTAGTTTCATACTGGGACAAAAAGAAATCCTAGTGTCATGTTTTCATTAATGGAATTCTTGCTGATGAAGACGGACAAAGATAGGACTTTAGGGACTGTGACAAACTTTTTGGAGAGATGGAAAGACACACTGCTAAAAATAATTTCTGAAGAAAGTATATAGAGTCTTTGCACCCCAATCAAATATTTCAGTTTAAATAATGAGAGACTGTTGAGACAGTAACAAACTTCAGTGGTAAAAATAAACCAAACACCATGCAAAAGCAGACCATACTCTAGGTCAGGGGTCCTGAAATTAAGGCCCGGGGGCCGGATACGGCCCTCACTCAGGGTCAACCTAAGTCCGAAATGACTTGAAAGCACTCAACAATCCTATCTCATCAGCCAAAAGCAGACCCACACTTCCCACTGAAATACTAATGTTTTTGTTTGTTAAAACTGTTCTTCATTTTAATTATTGGATTGTTTTAAATGTTGTTTAGTATTACAAATAAGGTATGGGCAGTGTGCATAGGAACTCATTTGTGGGTTTTTTTTTTCAAATTATAATTCGGCCTTCCAACAGTTTGAGGGACTATGACCTGGCCCTCTGTTTAAAAAGTCTGAGGACCCCTGCTCTAGGTTATTGGGAT